AAGTCTATTAAATACTAGGGTTTGTTTCTCTTGTCTAGATGAATTGAAAATAATTGAACAAAAGAATCAAGAAATCACTGAATGAAGAAAAATCTATAAAGGAAACAAATCCTCCAAAGCCAACAAAAGTAAAAAGTTGCTACTGACATTCCTGTTTAAGTACTATGCTATAAGAAAATAGTTATAGCATTCCTCCTGATATCCAGGTAGTTTCTGAAGCTGTGAGGTATGTGATTCTGTTAACATGACAGGCCTGGCCACAAGATGGTAGACTCTAGCCAGCTAAGGTGCCAAGTGAGAGATGGGCGGTCATAGCACTACCCCAAGCAATGGACGTTCTCAGACAACAGAGACTAATGGGAATTCAGACAGGGAGAACTCCAGGGTCAGGACCAACTAGAACTCACATAAGTCAAGTAAACTGGAGGAGACAGGCAGGAGTAAAGTCAGACTGGCTTAGAGACCAATGTGCTTTAATTGGCTGGACTTTATTTTATCTTTGTCTTGATTGTTTACTTAATACTCATTCCCAGAGAAAATATTTAAGGTGTCGGAGAATATATAAATATAACAATATCAGAAAATGACAAAAATAAAGTTTATGGCAAGCCTGTGCTATACAAATTATCTCTGTCATTAATCCAGGCTTTCCCAGTTCACTTCCTATATATTATAAACTATCAACAGGAGCTAAATGGGCTCCAAGGGGCAAAACAGCTTTGTGGGGAGGTGGAAGAGGACAGGGAGTCTTTTTTAATGTAGAAGGCACAGATGTATCCATTATGTAAAAGACATGAAATATAACTGTGGCATTAAAATTCTAAGGGAGTAGAATGATTAGAAAAATATGCTTAAAAAGAATCCCTAGTGGAATAGTGGAGAGGTCTCCAAAAACACAAATGCAGATACCCCTGATAGGGGTGGCTTCTGCTGTGTTACCTATACTTCTTATTCACTTCTCTCTGACATAGAAACATCTTTAAAATTAAGAGTTTATTGTTAACAGGTTGTTAATTTTAAAATTGGATCATCCCAATATGTAAGGGCTTTCTAAAGCTCAGGTTGAAAATCATTCAATTAAGGGTTTATTGAGATATGATCTGAACTTCAAGTATCCCCACCCTCTGCAGAGTATGGTCCTTTCCTCTAGCTATGTATTCAGTCTGGTCTTAGATCCATGATGATGATGCTTCCCTCTTATAGTTCTAACAAATTTTCATCAGACCTGTGAGGATCTTGTCTGCTAGACCTGAGATCTGAAGAATGAGACAGACTGCAGTCTAATGCTATAAACAACCTCACTCCAGTGTCAGTGTACTTTTACACATGAATGAAACAAAGAAAATGATTTGAGGAATATTGCTTGAGTTCAGAACAAGCTGGTCAGAAAAGCATATAAATAAATGTCAATAAGCACATATTTAAATATTAACAAAGTGTCCATTTCCCAGGACTTTCTCAGGACAGACCAATTTAGACACAATTTCCTGGTATGTACTATAGATTATATCTGGGAAAGCACAAAAACTAGGCAGAAGATCATATCCATATTCAGGGTACACTGTCCAGATTGTCCCATGGCTGTGTTTTGAAATCCAAAATAAATAAACATACCCCATAAATTAAATGTGAGTGTCACAGGAGGTATGGAATCACATGTGAGAACAATCCAGGGAATAAAATGCACCTGAGGTAAAAGACCCTCTGCCTTTCCCCTGGAGCCCCTCTCACAGTTCACCAAGGCACTGCTCACCATGCATCACTGTTTTGACTGTGTTCCAACACACCTCTTGTAATTTTCTTCATTACTGTTTCTCTCTGTGTAGCAGAAGCTTCACATATCCCAAGGCCATGGTTGCTAAGACTTGCATTCTTCTTCACTTGTTAAAAGTTAACTCCGAACAGGCTCATCATTAGCAACATGTAGGTTCCTTTCTACAGCATGAAGTGCAAATGAGGTATTATAAAACAGAAAAGTGCCCTTCATCTGTCCTTCTTGTTCCCACCAATGTTACTGATGGGCTGTCACAGAAAGAACAAGCTAATAGCTTTTTACCTAAATTCTCTTACTATAGAAAATTATGAGATTAATTCATAAAAGGACACATAAATGGAAAACAGTAAAAACAGGAAAAAAAGCTATTCCCAGAAATTTGCTCTTGAAATATTTTTACCCTGTAATTGCAATTATTGTTACACTTTTTTTTAATTTTCAGATATGAAAATATAGCTTAAAATCAAAATCTAAAAAAAAAAGTTCAAATTTGCAAATGATATGCTTCTTTGGGGACTTTACTCCTTTGTGAATTTTTGTCTATTTGATGTAGGATAAATATAATTCTTATACCACAGACTATGGAGAGCCAGCTTCTAGACTTATCCAGGTACTGAAGACATCCATGGAGTTGGCCTAAAGCCAGAGATTTTCTGTCTGAGGGGGTTTAGGGAAAAGAAAAGCGTTCACACACTTTCCTGATGGTTTCTCTCTATGATCTCTCAAATTGAATTCTACTACCATTCTTTGTTCTTCACAAATTTTAAAGACCCACAAAATTTTTCAGGCATTATATTTGAATATCAAATTACATTTTTTTTAAATTTACTAAAGGGGGTGGAAATCCCACTAATTTTTTTATTGATTTTTATTGAGCTCTACATTTTTCTCTGCTCCCCTCCCTGTCTCTCCTCTCTCTAAACCCTCCCCCAAGGTCCCCATACTCCCAATTTACTCAGGAGATCTTGTCCTTTTCTACTTCCCATGTAGATTAGATCTATGTATGTCTATTTTAGTGTCCTCATTGTTGTCTAAACTCTCTGGGATTGTGATTTGTATGCTGGTTTTCTTGGCTTTATGATTAAAAACCACTTATGGATGAGTACATGTGATAATTTTTTTTCTGTTTCTGGGTTACCTCACTCGAAACAGTGTTTTCTAGGTCCATTCATTTTCCTGCAATATTTAAGACTTCATTATTTTTTTTGCTGTGTAGTACTCCATTGTACTACATTTTTCTTATCAATTCTTAAGTTAGTGTATTCTTCATTTGTCAGACACAATTGTTTCTCTGTACTGATAGTAGGATGACAAGGCCCCAACCACAGATTAAAATTTATAGACAATAACCCCTGGAAGTGGGAGGTTCAGTCTTATTAAGCATTGTTCCTCCCTAAAAATGTGTATACAGACTAGAAACACTGCACAGAGTCAGCAGAAGTGTATGTGTGTAAAAATAAAGTAAAAGAGTCCATGAAAGTGGCCACAAAGTGCAGAGGACATGAGGGGGAGGGAATCAGAGGGAAGAGACGTGGACTAGAAGTGAAAATACAGTGTAAAGCTATGAAATTTTCAAATTTATTTTTTTAATAAAAGAATAGATATATCTCATCCAGTAAGGCTATTACAAAAGTCTAATTGGTCTTCTAGTGTCCTTGGTGACCTCCTTGTTGCCCTCTACTAGCTACCAACTGCCACACATTTATTCATTTTATTTCTTCCACTGTAGGAATGGTATGTCCAAAAAAGAAGTACTGTCTCCTACATACACTGCAGAATCATCCACTTCAGAATACCCACAAAAAGCTCAGGAAACTGTTCAAGGACCAAAATAAGCACACTTTATTGCATTTACAAGACATGACTTTTATAACTCCTTAGATATTTGCATATGTATGCAATTATACTTTGTGGTATCATTATTGATGGTTTGAAAAGATATAAACAGTTTAAATAAAACACAACTCAAACTATGAAAAATGTAAACCACATACATTAAAATCATATAACAGTGACTCATTTCTCAATTGTTTACCTGCCATATACAAACATTACTTCTTACATGTATATACAGCAAAAACCTAAAAGACTAATATTCTGAGGTTAATCTCTATATAAATATGAAAATAAATCCTTAACCTCAACTTTATCTTTAGAAGAGGGAGAACAGTCTGCATTTATTCAAATTACACTTAGTATTAAATAATCAAATGTTACACAATATTGTATAAAGCAGCAAGTAGAAAAATAAATTATGAAAATGAATAGGCCTAGAAGGTAACAATGAAAAAATACCTACTTTTCCAACATTATTTTCCATAATGAGATTAAAATATTATCTAGTATGATAAAGTGCATTTAAATGTGGATATAGCATCATTGTGATTTTAAAAGTTGTCTAAGGAAAAATGGATGCAAAATAAGATGCTTGAAAAAAATGTGTGAATACATTAAAGTAAGCTTAAATTGAAAGCATTATTTTGCCCTTAAACTGGGGAACACTTTCGAGAAATCAAAATACTGTCTCCCAGAAAGTCACCTAAAAAAGAGTTTTGCATTTCTTTTCCTTAAACAAGTTTGTTAAGAAGAGATAGAAACCTCTACTTTGAATATTTTAAATTTGGATTACTGAAGATGTTGACTTGTTCACGTTACCTAGACAACTTTCTAGTCAACATAGATGTTCTCGATCCACAACTAGAGGCAAAACCCCACACAGAACTTCTGCATTAACAATCGCTCTCTCTCTCTCTCTTTTTGCAAAGTATAGAAGAAAAAAAAACACTTATGAGGTAAATAACATGAGAATGAAGAGAACATGGTGACATGCATGCTACCAGAGTGTGTTTAGCCAGTGGCACACATGTACCATCTATTAATATATAAGATTCACCCTTGTCTAGAACTCCACTCTCTAAGGCAAACATCTATGTTACAAATTAACAAAAAAAAAGTTACATAAATAATAACTACTCTCACCTGATGTCTGTATCAATTTCTCACCAACTATTATTTTTTGTCAGACATGTAACCTGTTAACTGGGATTCCAAACATAAAATAGCCATTTGTATGTAGTTACTAAAGATTCAATCGATGTGGCTTTTGTGTATAATGGTACCTAATCAATTCCCCATTAGGAAAAAGAAATAAAGCTGAAAGTATTTAAAATTTGTTAACAAAAATCAAAAGCACAAAAGTGTTTGCCAAAATGGAATGTTATTTAAAAATAATTATTTATTGCTCTATGCGTGCACATGTATCATTTGGCCACTATGGCAGACATTTGTAAATGTCAGAAACCAATTTCAGGAATTCATTCTCCCCTTCCACTGTGAGTTCAGGCACAAATTTTGGGTTGGCAAGCTTGGGCAACAAGTACTTTTACTTCCTGAGACACATTGCTAGCCCAGTGAATTTTTTTAGTTCATCAAAAAGGAATGTTTGAACATACATAATACAATTCACATAAGTAACCAGTAATATTTATGTTCTGGGTAAGCTATTCAAAGTCTAGACCTGTATGAACCAAAATATCGCTCATTAAGAATTATCTTACTGGTTCTGACTACCGGTAATGCTATTTTTGCTTGCCCATCCTGGGTCAGATAGAAAGGCCTTTGCCTCTTAAAGATATTTTGGTCAGAAGGAGTGGGAGGTATTCAAAGTTCCAGACGAAAAGCAAGACTAACCATGTCCTGGGTGATAAGCAGTCAGAAGTCACATTATTCAAAGTACTGACTAACATTTAAATGTAATTCTCTTTTCAATAGGGTACTTTCCAAAATCATGCCTAATAACAATCTCCCAATATTCATTAAAGAGAAAAGAAATGCTTGACGATAGGAGCTTAGGAACTGCCATTATGCTACAGATAAAGTTCTAAATTACAGGTCAATGTAAATTAGCAACAATATAGTCATTTGGTAAAATGTTGTTACTACACTGTGTTTGTCTATGAAACATATTCAGATTCATAAAACTTATCCTTTACAAATACAAAGTTTGGTGTTTTCTAGCATATTCCAATTTATGCTACTACTTCTAATCTAATTTTAGAAGACTGTGGTCATCCTCCTAAGAAGGCACATATCCTTTGGCCATTAGTGCCAACTACTCTCAGCCTCTGGAAGTCAGTAGGTGAAATACATTTTTGTAGCATTTTTCTTTAGGTAGTATGTGTTATAAATATCTTCACTAAAATTTTCACATACAATTTAAGCCTCAGACTTCACAAGTACTCTTGATATTGTATATTTATTACATACATTTTTAAACATTCTTTCTTTTTTCACAAAGTATTTTTATTTACATTGACATCTAAAATATTTCCAATTTCTCAAATAAATTCTTTCTTCAGAAATTTGAAAACCCAATACCTCTATATCAAAAGGCATACTTCACAGGGTCCTTAGTACTGTGAACCACTGTGCCCTTCCTGCTTCTTAAAATACTAGAGAATCTAATATACACTGGTCACTAACTTCCTTATTTTACAGAGCAGAAGAGGTCTAATATGGCCTGGGCATACCCAGTATTATAAGATTAGGTAACAGCAAAGCTGATTGGACAAATGAAAAATATTCATGCTATCTGATAGCATCCATGGTTTAAAGCAATAATATATAACAGCCTACCAGTTTCCTTGTTCTTTGTATTAAACACTGATTTCCATAAAACAAAGTATTAAGCTCTTGCATCCAAATTTTTAAGCAAACACTGTCACAGGTTAACTACAAAGTCAATTTTCTTATGAAGTAATTTTATTTTATCAGTGGGTTCTCAATAGTTTTGATCTGAAAGTGTAATTTTATTTTACCATATTATATTAAAATCATTAACACATTCCCTCTTAGTGATCTATAGGGGTCAGACAACCCAAGTAGTTCACTGAGATAGAACAAAGAAAGCCTGAGGTTCCTGAGGACAGACAAGCGTGGCTCAATTTGCCAGGTTGAAATTCTTCATTGGCCGGTGTTGTATAATGCACCACTCCATTGAGAACTAGGGTCCCACGATCAGTATTTTGGAAACAAGCACTTTATGAACTAAAGATAGCTGCGATTTAGCCATTGCAACAGTTCTTCATCTGCAGTGACTTTCTGGAAGTGGATCCGACTAGACTCGTAATGGATTTGCTGTCATCATCCTCTGTCCTTTTCTTTACTTCCCTGTGAGAATGGAGAAAGGAATTACAACAAAAGTGAAATATATGCTTACTTACCTGTGGAGATTAATTACAGGAAAAGGAGATTAACACAGTTCACAATACAAAGCCTTGATAACTCCAACATTATACAAATGTCTCATCTATGCCAAATTACAGGCTGTTAACTACAAAACTCAGAGGGAGCGATAGATATCTAGATAAATAATTTCAGGGTCATGGGTTTCTACTTAAACCATCTGGCTAGTGTCTTATAGGAACCAAGGTGCTTCTAGAAGATACTGGCATTGGAATTGGTTGAATTGTGGTTGTTTAAATTAAATGTCGCCCACATTCTCAAGCATGTGAACACTTGATCTTCAGATGGTAGTACTGCTTAGGTAGGTTTAAGAGGTGTGACCCTACTGGAGGATGTCACTCTTAGCAGACTTTGAGGTTTCAAAACCTGGGTGCCATTCATGTTTGCGCTCTGATTTCTGTTTAAGATTTGACATGATAACGCTCAGCTCTGTTTCTATCTCCAGCCACTATGCCTTTCTACTGCCAAACATCCCTGTTGTGATGATGGTAATGAACTCTTAAGCCTCAGGAACCCGTAAGGGCCCTAAAAATCTTCCTTCAACAAGTTGCCTTTATCATGGTGGCTTTTCACAGCAATAGAAACTTAACTAAGACAGCTCCCTAAAAGAACTGAGAGATCCCTCCTTCAGAAGCCACGATTGCCTATAGCACTTCATTAGAGATGGGACGAGCTCCATGATAGGTTATCCAACCCCAAGTGGTTGATCCCAAATATATCTGCATATAATCAACATTAAAAGGGCTCAGTAGTAAGGTGTGTGTGTGTGTGTGTGTGTGTGTCTAGAAAAACTAAAGACATGAATTTGAGAGGGAGTCAGGAAGACAATGGAGGAGTGGGAGCAGAGAGAGGGAATCATAGAAATAAGATAAAAACAGTATTCAAGTATAAAATTCTCTAAAAATATTAAATATTCAGTCCTCTTTCTCATTGTACAGATTAGAGATGTCTACAATGAAGCAGAGATATGTGAATGACTCCAGAGTTAAATAGGCCTCCATTTAAAAATAGACTTGAGAACTAGTGAGATAACTCAAGAGTACAGCACCTTCCATACCAGCCTGAGAACTTAAGTTTGATCCCCAGAACCCATGTAAAGGTGGCGTCAATAGTTAACTTTTTGGTACAAATTTGTATCTTAGTTAGGATTACTATCACTGTGACAAGTCAGCATGGTCAGAAGGAACCTGGGGAAGAATGACTTTACTTGAGCTTACAGTTCCACACCACAGACCATCACGGAGGACAGGAGAGTGACCTGGAGGCAGAAACTGAAGCAGATACCATGAAGAAATGTTGCTTAATGGTTTTCCCCTCATTTCTTGCTCAGCTTGTTTTCTTATATAATCCAGTACCACACAGCCAGATAATCAAATGTCTAGCGGTGGTAGCATGCAGAGTGGTACCAAATCAATCATTAATAAAGAAAATGCCCTAGAAGTTTTCCCATGTACTAATATGGTAGGAGTACTGTCTAAGTTGAGACTCCCCCTTTACAAATGGCAACAGCTTGTATCAAGTTGACAAAAACCTAACTAAAAAACACACCAAGCAGAAAATATAAATCAGGGAGAGAGTACTGTTATGTCTTGCAGTACTTGAAGAACTGCCATACACGTTTTTATGCAAGTCTTCTAATGATAAGTTTTGTTATAATCCACATGCAAAATGTTAATTATTCTCCACACCACTGCTTTCCTTTAATAATTATACACTGAGCAATTCGGGCAGTGATTCCAACTGTTATGATATGCAATTTCCTTTTTTGTTCTGTATATTCCATTTGATTAGCAAAATTTTATAATAGATATGCTAATAATAGCTAGTTGTGTTTAAATTTTGTTTTCAGGAGATGATTCTACAAGTCAATTATTATCATTCCTGGTGATATTTTACAAAATGTTCAAAAATTCTGCAGCTACATCTCTTTTGTTCAGTAGTAAAAATATCTAGTCAATGTCAACAATGAACAAGAATTTATACTAATTTTATAATAGATACATGTAGTGTTTTCCTTACCACGAAAGACAGAACTATGTTCTACAGCAGATATTTTAACTGAAAGCTATAATAGAGAGATTCATCATATCCATCAGGTAAGTGAAAAATCTGATTTTTCTAAACACAAGGCCAACTTTACCGAGCAAGATGGAGAACAGCTTCAACGACATTGGATCCGTCTTTGGCACTTGTTTCACAGAATAATGCCCCATACGTCTGTAGAAAGGAAGTACACACAGTTCAGCGCAGGCTTTGATTAGATTCCCTGATATTTAAATTACTGAATTAAAAACATTTCTTCCTAGCCAATTATGATAGCACACACCTTTAATCCCATCACTTTGGAGGCAGAAGCAGACTGATCTCAAAGTTTGAGGCCAGCTTGGTATACTGAATGAATTCTAGGGCAGTCAGTACTACAAAGAGAAACACTGCCTAGTAAAACAACTATTTATGTATATGTATATAGAGAGAATGCTGAGTAATAACTACAAAAAGTAAAATTAGAGTCTCAGGACTTATAAACAACAACAACAACAACAAAATAGATCTGATTGTCCAGGTGTACTGGAGTGTTCCTGGAATATCAGCACTAAAAAGGTGTAAGCAGACTTTCATATCCAGCCTGATACATGAGACCTTGCCCCAAACAAGCAAACAAAACAAACCAGTCTAAATAGTAATACTAGAATGAGTTCCTAATCAGAAGTCTTTTATATTATATTTTTAAAAAATGTAAAATTGCGTTTCAATAATCAAGGACATAATTCTGCATATTCTCTTCAAAGAATTTGAGGCAGATAAAAATGACAGCTTAAGGTAGCAAGTTAGGAATTATACCTCTATCAAAAGGATGTTTTCAGTATCATGTCAGTTGTAAGTACTAGGATATCCTTGACTAGATAGCAAGACTCTGTCTCTGAAAAGGGAATAAGGTATGTTTGCCTGGTCCAATGGCTAATGCTTCCTTCATCTTATTCTCAGCTTCTCCCATCAGAGTACAGAGCTCTTGTGTTGCTGAAGTGAAATGTTCTAGTCCATAGACTCCACTGGTTGCCCTTGCATAGTTCCTTGTATTGCTCCTCTGCTTCTAACATTTAAATTACATCCTTTCTGAGGTAATGTTCAACTGATTTTCCATAGCCAACCATAACCTGCTTAATGTCAAGTTGAGGTAATCTTCCATTTTTATGTTAATCACATCTTTACCCCATAAATCCCCAGGCACCTGGCTCTTCTCTGTATTTCTCCAGTTATCTAAATTCCAACTAATCTCAGGATGTCTATACTTGTTCTTACTAATAACTAGATTGTCTGTCTCACTCCAACTTCTATTTTTGTTTTGGATGCTTTGGTAATCATTAAGTTGTTTCTAATTCTGAAAAGTGTCCATCAGGTCTTGCTGTAATAATACCTCAGAGTTTTTTGTTTGTTTTCATTTTTTGTTGTTTGTTTGCTTGTTTGTACTTGCCAAAAGTCTAACAGTTATGTTTGTATGTTATTGTAAAATAAGGTGGAGGCAGATTCTTTTAATAAAGGACAATTACAGATGCATAAACCTTGGGTGAGGATTAATTATTACCATTTGGTGTAAGGGAAGGATTTGATGGCTACTAGGTAGCACCAAGAGATAAAATATTCCACTACTTTTACATAAGCAAACTGACAAAAAGAAATCTATACAATTCACAAATATACATGTGCAGTAGAAACAGTACACTTGATGATTATATATGACAGAAATGACAGGAAGAAATAATGTAAATTTTGAGGATTTCAGGAGTAAGTCAAAAGATGTTTGAGGGAGCAACTTGAGAACTGAGATTGATGCTAAGAGATGCCAGGTCTAGATTGTAGGTCTGAAAGAGGCTAAGTGGAAAACTCCTGGCATATGAATGAAAAAGTTAAGTATCATATTGGAAAACAAGCTATGTAGATGAAAGGCTATGCTCCTGGGAGCAAAGTATACAGGAAAAGGATTGTCTCCAACAAGAAGTTCACTGTTTCCAAGTTAGAAAAAAAAAGGGGTAACTACTGGACTAACAAAGTGAATAATATAAAGGGGAAAGAATGACCCTGCCTCCTGAAGAATAAACTGCATAAGAGTGAAGATTGTTTCCAACAGAGGCAAAACCACACATGGTGAAGACTCTTCCCAATATAGCCAGACACAGGAGTTATGACTTACAATACAGTAAACTCTGCAGGCATGAGGACTAACTCCAATACAAAGAAGACTGTCCTAGAAACAGTCAACTACACAGGATGAAGACAGTGTCCAACACTATCAACCACATGCTCAGACTGTCTTTTACACAGTGTATTACACAGTGGTGAAAAATACAACATAGCAAACTACAAGGGGTAAGGTAAGAAACAGACAGGTTTCTTAATTGTCCCTAAAACAGCCAACCACACAATGTAAAGACTATGTGAAACACAGGAAACTAGTCAAGGTGAAAATTATCTCTAACAAAGTGTAAGAAAAAGGGTAAGACATTGGGTCCAACACAATGTGTTGGACAGTCTTCTACTACTGTATATTAGTACATAGGATGAGGGCCATATCTAACACAGCCAGTTATAAAAAGTAAGGACTAGTTCAACACAGGGTGAGAATAGTTTATAACACAGTCCTCTATACAGGATGAGGACTGCATTCAACACACCAAAATAAATAGGGGTGAAGGTTGTCTTCAACACAGAACAACACAAGTTGAAGAAGGTCAACATCACAGTCATCTACACAGAAATGTGAATTGTGTCTACCCTGGTGAACTACACAGCATGCGTGAGGACTGTTTCCAACAGGTGCAATATGCAGGGGTGAGAAATGTCCCCAGTATAGTGAACCACATAGACACAGTGATATGATCTGTGTCTAAAATTGGTAACAACACAGGATTAAAAACATCCCCAACACAATGAAGTCCACAGTGGGAAATTACTTTCTCAAACACATGGAACTAGAAGAAAGAATGAGTTGAATTCTCAACTCAATGAAGTCAACAGATGTGAACTGTCCCTAAAACAGTCAACAACATGAGGACTGTGTGTAATACAGCGTCCTATTAGAGGTGATAATTATTAAAAAAAAAAAAGTGTAAGACAGAGAGGTAAAGATTGTGTCCAGCACAGTAAAGAATACAGGAGTATGGGTTATGTCCAAAACAATAAACTGCACAGTGTACAATATAGGATGAGGTACAACACATGATAAGGACCATCTCAGCACAGTGAACCACACAGGGTAACGACTGCCACCAATTCTGAAAACAATGACCTATCATGATATTGTCTCATTTTGGAGACCCCACCTCCCCCTACACACACACACACTCTTACCATGGCCAGTTTTTCTCCAAGGTACGCTGAGATACACTTTTGTTTCTCTGCACTAGCAGAATCACGAAGATCAGCCTTGTTTCCTATTAACATGATAGGAACACTTCTCTGGGCTCCATCCTTTGAAGAAGGAAAAGAAGTGGACATACATCAAACACTGAACCAACTATAGAGCTGTGACCATGCTACCAATAGCTGACATTGTCCAGTTTTCTAAAGGTGCCAATTTAGTATTCATAATTGTTTATAGTTGTAGGACAGAATACACAGCTATTGTCATTGTCTATGTCAAATATTTGCAATAATTAAATTGCTTACATTTAAGGTAAAGTTTTTGAAAGTCAATATGCCTTGAAGCATAGTCACCCTTCTTCCTTTTTGCCAGTGAGAACACTAAAATTCAGAGAAATGAAATAAGAACATGCAAAGCTGAATGTTGGAACCCAAAGTGCCTGCATTGCCCCACTTAGGTAATGTTCTACTCTTTGATAATAAAAAAGTAAAGGATAAGAGACTAGTTATACACAGAGTGCACAGTGCACTACAATCATGACAGATTGCCTCATCCGGCCTGGGCTCCACCCACTTTACTCTTCTTCAATATCTGGACTTCCTGTAATACTATTTCCTTTAGCCTGCTGTCTTCTCCATGTCGCAATTAGCAAAGGAGTCACTCTTTTTAAGTCAATTAGTAGGGACTGTGAAATTTTAATGCCTCATCTTAGAAATAGCCATGAGAACGTCTCTTTCTGGCCATTCTTTTTCTATAGTGAAATTCAAATGCAATGTACACCTCCTTTCTCTCCTGTAAGATCTCCAGGAATTCATCTTAATTACAATTTTCTTCCTTTTCTGATCTCATGAGAAAATGGAAGGGTGGCTAAAGAGCTCACTTGTAATATGAATCTGCAGTGCCTCACTTAATGTAAGGACATTTTCCTCTTGGACTGACCTTGCCTTTTGAATTGTCATTTTCTGAGCATTTGGCCCTTGTCTTTTGAATTGCCATTTTCTGAGCATTTTCTTCAACATACACCAGCATGAAAATGGAAGACTAAGCCCCAAATATTAATGATAATATGTTTGGCACAGGACTCAGTGTATAGCCCACTGAGATCAATTACATGGTAGAAGGCTCTCTTGCAGAGACAAGCTCCTTTAGGTTCCTTTAGTTTCAAGGCAACTGCTATGAATTTGTAGCTAACTATTGTACCTTACCAAAGCAATGACCAATATTGATTAAAAGGTTATGACTCCATTCCATTCCTCCATACTAGTATTATGAACTCAAGCAAGTGCCATATATTTTCTATGCCTGTGTTCTCATAATATGTAAAAATTGCTTGTTTCTTTCTTATTTTTTCAGATGTTAGAAAAATAAATGTAATATATGGATAATTTTATCAAGTAAAAATTTACAGAAATGTAAATAATTTTAAATAATTTTAATTTCATTTATAGTAAATTTAAGATATGGTATTTTGGTAAAACAAGGCATATTCATGTTTCATCATCAAAGAATTATTCCAATAACACAGCATCTTTTCCATAAATTCTGTAGTCAAGAAGCAAACATTAATCCACAGGCACACTTGAGATCAGAAAACACTAGACTTCAGCCATGTCTGTAACTTAATATGTTTAAAATACAAATGATATTATTTACTTGGGAAGTTGTATTTACCTGGAGTTTATAATTTCTAGAGAGTACCCTGTTGTTTTAATGCTTGTTAGTAACACCTGGCAGTAAACCTAGTACTTTTACCAATTTTGACTGTAAAACAAAATGATATGAAAGGTCCTTAAGGGGAGACATAGCCACTTTGATATAGATTTCATCCATGCTACATGTTAACATGCCAATTCATATTTCCATGGCATCTTGGTTTATTTAAATGCTCCCACATTACAACTAGAATAAGCTTAACTTTGGATCTTAGCTCTACTAAGCTCCTCAGTGGTGTCTTAGCTGTTTCTAAAATTTCTGCCACATTGCACATCCAGTTCAACTACTTTCATGTTTGTAAAAGTGGCTTTTCCACTTCATTACACAGGGTTTCTATATTATATCTAGCAAAGAATAAAGATGTTTTCCAAATCTACTTGCAGAAATTTCTTCAACTTGAGAAATGATCCTGGGAAGAGACAAGGTTGCCAATTGCCACTGGAAAATGTCAGTCTTCCTGACAGCACAGACCAGTCACTCCTAATCATGTTTACCCCAGTAAAAACAAACAAAAAGCAATGGTATTTCTTAAGACAGTCCATGACTCCCCTGCATAATTTTCTATTTCTCCCTTATAATCCTTACCTCAACCATATCCACCCATTCTCGTACGTTAAGAAAGCTTTTTTCACAAGTAACATCATACAGCAGTAAGACGCCATCTGCTTTTCTGAAGTAAGATTTGGCAATACTTCTGAATCTGGTAAAGACAAAGCAAAAGCTCATCATCAACATGCCATCTGGTCCTTCCTTGCACTTCATCTCTATTATGCCCTTTAGTTTTTACTTTCTATAACCAATTCCAACAAATAAAAGCCTTAACAACAAGTATTAGTGACAAACTTCTTTAGCAGAGGCCTGGTGATCACGGAGAAAGCACATTCTTTCCTCCAGCAGATGATTCCAAGAATGTTACCTAACCATAAAATTTAGCCTCAACAATTGTAAAAGCATAATGAAAGAAACAGTTCAACCCCAGGAACTAGCAAATGGACAGAAGGGAAACCAAATACCTGTCTCATAAACAAGGTAATAAATGACGGAAAAACTATCCAACATTGACATATGCCCTTCACATGCACATGTGTACTTTCACATATACATATATGCAAAGACACAAATGGTGCGACTGCAAGCCTGCTGAGGAACTATGTTCTGAAAAGGCATGAGTAGATTTTTGCATTTGTTTTGTTCTTTAAGTGAAAGGAGATATTATAATAAGGAGCAGGTACAGAGGAACCTGAATATATGATGTTTCTTGCCTGTGGCCTAATTTCCAAAAGGCCAAAAAGAGGGAAAGCAGTGAGGTAAGATTTACAATGACCAAGGGCATATTGTGTCTCCATGGTCATCACTGAAGCTTAGCACAAAGAATAGTACAGACACAGGCCCTCAAACATACTCATTGTACAACTGAGTAAATTTTGACCCACAGAGAGTTAGATAAAATTAAAATTTATGCTTTATACTTCTGGTCATTGTCAAAAATCTAAGATATGGAATCACCAGAAATATATCTGTCACTTATCCTTTGCTGTTGCCCTTCAAACAAGAATATTTGACAGGGTCTCTTTGCCCATCATGTTCTGTTTCAAAACTAAGACCCCCCCCCACAGCGACACTGCATTCAGCAATGTTGCCTTGTCTCCATTGCATAGCATGCTGTCACAACCAAACATCAGCTCAAAAAGGGCTCAAAGACCTTTTTCTCATACAAATGATACAAACTTATGGGAAGAGATGGTAGAAACATGATCTTTATTGGTATTACATGCACATTGCAATTCCAAGTGGAGTTTCTTAAAGCACAGTAATAGATTATGAATATAATTAGTATACTTAACCCTATGAGGCTTTATTTGTATTCTTTAATTCAAAAAAAAGCACTTGCCTCTCTTGCCCAGCTGTATCCCAGAGCTGAAGAACTGTTCGTTCACCATCTACAATCAAAGTTTTCATCTGGAAATCAACTCCTGAAACAGAAACGCCACAGGAAATTCTGTAAGTTTTGGCTAAATCCAAAGCTAAAGTAGAAAGAAATGCACTTGACTTTCAAAGAGAAAGCTTCAAATAGGTCAATTTACATATGTATATAAGATTCACAACTGCAGCCTGTCTCACGTAAGGTACAACTGAATCTATGGATTAGAGAAAGCTCAGTTCTTTTTCCTGTATGGTTGAACTTAGGCCTATATGTGTGCTAGCAAAACTGTAAGAATGTATGTGTATGTGCATGCATATGTTATGTGAATACCATTTATATAAGTATACGTATGCATATAACATTGTACATATGTGTATGTATGTGTGTGTGTAAATGGATGCTCACATATGACTTTTGCACCCACATACACATGCTTATTATACACACAGATACACAAACATACATATGTCATGGTCTCTAGCAACCAGAACACTACTTCAGTTGTTTCATGAATTAAACTGAAGTTTACTCTCAGTTTTGTTTCTAGAAGTGTTATCAGAGAACTATAAATTCAAAGATTTGCCCAGTGTGGTGAAGGCAACCAATTTGGTTTATTATTTCTGATTGTCTAAATAACTCTTTAGATGAAGAAGAAATGTAAATGATAATTACTATATTTCAGTACCCTTCTACTGATTATTTTGCAAATTTGAAAAACATAACACTAAATTTTATCTATTTTTGTTTGTTCTTTGTGTAGTTTTTTTTTAATCAGGGTAAAAATAGTAGGAAGAATTAGGAAATGCTCACTCAGTTTCTATTTCGTGGATTAATTTGAGGAATAGTTTTTTGAAGATTTGGTAGAATTCTTCACTGAATCTACCTGACCCTCGACTTTTTATGGTTGGGAGATTGTAATTACTGCTGCTATTTCACTAGAGGTACTAAACCTCTTTAAATTGTTTATTTCATCATGATTTAACTTTGATAGGTTGTATATATGAATATGTTCATCCATTTCTTTTAGTTTTTCCAATTTGGGGGGATAAAGTTTTTTTTTTTTTAATTTTATGATACTTACATTTTGTTAGCTTATTTGCATGTACACACACACACACACACACACACACACACATGCTATGTGTGTGAGCACCTACAGAAGTCAGGAAGCAGTGTAGGATACCCTGGAGCAGAAGTTAACAAGGAAGTGTGAGCTGCCTGATGTGGGTTCTAGGAAAAGAACTTGGGCCCTCTGTTTCTAAACACTGAAACATCTCCCCAGTCCTGGAACAGAGATTTTTTAAGTTTTATTATTCTCTAAATTATCCTGGTGTCTAATGTAATGTCTCCCTTTTCCTCTCTTATTTTAATTTGGATCATCTATTTTTTTTCATCTTTGATTAATTTGGCTATGGCTGTGACAATCTTCTTGATTTTCTCAAAGAACCATCTCTTCATTCACTGAATTTATATTTCTGCTACTGTTATTTCTATTTCATTGATTTCAGCCCTGAATTAAACTATTTCCTCCCCTCTACTATTTTGGATATTCTTTATTGTTGTTCTTCTATAGTTTTCAGGTCTACTGTTAAGTTATAATTATGAGATCTCTCCTACCACATAATGTTGGCACTTAGTGCTATGAACTTGCCTCCTAGAACTGCATTCACTGTGTCCAGAGACTTAGGTATGTTGTGTTTTTATTTTCATTCAGTTCTGAAATGTGTTGCTTTCTTGATTTTATCCAAGTTCATTCAGTACAGATGATTTATTTAATTTCCATCAGTTTGTATATGTTCTGCTGTTAACTCTTGTTAGTATCCTTAAGCCATGATATTCAGAGAAGATGCAAGATGCTATTTCAATTTTGTTATACCTGTTGATAATTGTTTTGTGTCCCAACCATGATTTGACATTTTGTTCAGAGACTATTTATTCATTTTGATCTCTTGCGTACAGTTAATCTTTCCAGGCTTGAAATTCTACAATATCTATTATGAAGCTAAATGTGAAATTTCTCAAGAAAATACTTGCAAACTGAATTCACCAGCACATAAGAAAAATTAACTATCCATTTATAACAAGCTGGCTTCATCCCAAAGATTCTAGATGATTCAAAAATACATAAATCAAAAACCATAATCTATTACATAATTACCTCATTTGGTGCAGAAAAAAAAAAACCTTTGATATAATACCTGTGATAAACTCTTAGAAAGATTAGGAATACAAGGGACATTTAACAAAATAATAAAGAAAATTTACATAAAATCTACTTTCTCAATAGTGAAAAACCCAAAGCATTTCCACTGAAATCAGGAACAAGACAAGGATCTCCACCAATTTTATACATAATTGAAGTCTTACCTGGAGAAAATCTAAAGAGATCATGGAGATTCAAATAAGAAAAGAAATTCAAGTACATTTATTTGCAGCTGTTATGATAGTGTTTGTAAGTTACCCTAAAATCCTACCAGAAAGCTTCATACGACTAAGAAGGAAGACACAAAATTAACACACACACGCACACAGACACACACACACACACACACAACACTCAATCAGCAGCCTATAGCCTATGCTCAAACGAAAAACAGACTAGGTAAGGAATCAGGGAAACAGTGCCTTTCATCATAACCTCAAAAAAAATCTTATGATAACTTTAAGTAAACAAGTGAAAGATAATAAATATTTAAGTATTAAATAAAGTACAATAAATAAATCTTTAAGTCACTGAAGAAAGAAATTGAAAAAGATATCAGAAAATGGAAATACCTTCGACATTCATGTATGGTTGGGAGTAATATTGTAAGAAAGGTCATTCTACCAAAAGTGGTCTACAAATTAAATGGAATCCCTATCAATATTTTCACACAATTCTTCACAGAAATTAAATATAATCTTCGACTTTATTTAAACACAAAACACAGGATACCTAAGAAAAATATGAATAATAAAAGGACTGCTGGAGGTAACACTATCCCAAACCTCAAACTGTGTTAGAGGTATAGTAATGAAAAATAGCATATCTACACAGAGAAACAAACTAACAACAACAACAAAGAAAAATAGCATGTTATCAGCATAAAAATAGATCAGTGGAATTGAAGACCAAGACATAAATCCACACACCTATGGACATCTGATTTTTGATATAGAAACCAAAAATACACACTAGGGAACAGACAATATCTTCAACAAAAGATGCTAGTTAAACTGGATGACTACCTGTAGAAGAATGAAAATAGATCCATACTATCACCATGTATGAAATGCACTCCAAATAGATTACAGAGCTTAGCATAAGACCAATACTGCAAATTTGTAGAAGAGTAGATGCAGAATAAGCATGAATTCAATGGCACAGGAAAGGACTTTCTGAACAAGGTATCAGTAATACTGTCATTAAGATGAACAATTAATAATTAGGATATCATGAAAAGTTTCTGTACTATACGATCACTACCATTTTCCCACATAATGAGAAAAAAATCCTTACCGATTACACATCTGATAGGATATTAATCTGTAATACATAAAAAAACTAAAAAACAACCATTTATCAAGAAAACAACTAAATTAAAATATGGGATACAGAATGAAGCAGAGAGTTCTAAAAAGGCAAAACACAAATGGCTGAGAAACATTTAAGGTCATGTTCAATATCATAGTCCATCTGGAAACAGTAAATGAGAGCTACTTTGAGATTTGTCTTACCCACTCAGAATGGTTAAGACAAATAAAATAAATGCCCTCTGATATTGGTGAGGATACAGGAAAAGGGGAACACCTATTCAATACTGTTGGGAGTGGAAATCAGTATAGTGATTCTTCAGGAAGTTGGGAATAGATCTACCTCAAGATAGAACTATACCATTATTAGGCATATAACCAAAGGGCTCTACATGCTATCAATAGATACTTGCTCACCCGTATTCTTTGCTATTCTAATCACAATAGTTAGATATTAGAAACAGGCCTGCTGTCTTTCAACTGAGGTATGGGTAATTAAAATGTCATATATTTATATAAAGGAATATTATTTAGCTGTTTCAAAATTTGAACTTATTGCATTCATAGACAAAAGGTTGGTGCTAGAAAAAGATCATCCTGAGTGACATAAAACAGGCCCCTCCAAAACAAATGTTTTCACTTCTATGTGACTGTTTGCTTTTACATTTTCATTATGCTAAATAACATAGCAATAAAATAATTTTTTGGACATATTGGTATACCTTTAGATAATTGTCTTGCTCAACCTACATCAGAGAATCTTCTTGTTGCTGTAAATGGAAATTAACACAAAGACCCACAACTGGACAAGTCAGAGACAGTGAGAGATTTTGGAGTAATTGGTCCTAAAAGAGATCAAGGCTCAGTAATCTATATGAAAGAGGAAACAAATTTAAATTTTAAGAGCCAGATCGGATAGATGACTCCAAGGAAATAGAGTCATCCGAAGACAGATATTTGCAACTCGTATCTATTGGCAAAAGGAAAATCCGTTTTCTACAATGGAGTGTTACTGTGTATATTTTATGCAAATAAGGCCAGGCCCCGTACCCAGAAGTAAAACTCAACACAGTAGAACTCCATGGGATTTTTTGGGGGGTGGAGGGTTGGGTTTTTTTTTTTTTTGCCTTATTTTTTATGTGGATTTTGTTTTTGAAAGACGAGAGAGAGAAGAGTAAAAATGAAGTTGGGTGGGTAGGGTGGAACGGGTATCCGGGAGGAGTTGAGGGAGGGAAAAACATGATTAAAACATATTATATTAAAAAATTTAACCAAAAATATCTGTGGTTTGAAAGAAAATTGCCCCCAATGGAGTAGCATTATTAGAGGATTTGGTCTTGTTGGAGGAAGTGTGTCACTGCTAGAGCTGGCTTTAAGGTCTCTTTTGCTCAAGCTTCCCTCAGTGTGACAGTCAGTTGACTTCTTGTTCCCTGCAAGCCAAGAGGTAGCCAGCATGACATCTGCCTGCATACTGCCATGCTCTAAACCATGATGATAATAAATTGAGGCTCTAGGCCTCTCAAATATTTTCCTGAGAAGAGTTGCTGTCGTCATGGTGTCTCTTCCCAGCAATAAAACCTTAACAAAGACAATAATATTTAAAAAGACTGAGAAAGGTCAAAAGAAAGAAAAAGAAAAAATAATGAGAAAATTATTGCCATATAAACTAATTTTCTAATGGACATATGGAAAGGGACACAAATATAGATTTGAATTTGACTTTAATCTCAAATTTTTCATGGTCATTGAGAAGTTCTTAACATAAAATGAAGGCTCTCCCTATCCACCAATGGGATATGCACTTCTTTCCACATCTCATTTTTATTTGTTTGTTTGTTTTTTGGTTTTTCGAGACAGAATTTCTCTGTAGCTTTGGAGCCTGTCTGGAACTTGTTCTGTAGACCAAGTTAACCTTGAACTCACAAAGATTTTCCTTCCTCCACCTCCTGAGTCTTGGGATTAAAGGCACGCACCTCCATTGCGTGGCTCCACATCTCATTTTTAAAATTCATTTGGTAAGCATGGGGTGGGGGTAAGGGGAAATGGGGAGAAAAAAGTGAAAAGGGGAAGATGGGGAAAACTTGGGGGAATAGGACGGTTGGGATGGAGGCAGGGTAGATATAGGAGTAGGGAAGTATATATCTTAATTAAGGGAGCCATTTTAGGGTTGGTGAGAGAATTGACTTTAGAGGTGTTCCCAGGTGTCCATGGAGATGTCCCCAGGTAGATCCTTGGGCAGCTGAGGAGAGGGAGACTGATATGGCCCTATCATATAGTCATACTGATGAATATCTTGCATATCACCATAGAAACTCCATCTGGCAATGGATGAAGCTAAAGACAGAGACCCACATTGGAACACTGGACTGAGCTTTTAAGGTCCAAATGAAGAGCAGAAGGAGGGAGAACATGAGTAAGGAAGTTAGGACCACGAGTGGTGCGCCCACCCACTGAGATGGTGGGGCTGATCTAATGGGAACTCACCAAGGCCAGCTGGATGATGGAGCATGTGATCAAACCGGACTCCCTGAACGTGGCTGACAAGGAGGGCTGACTGAGAAGCCAAGGACAATGGCACGGGATTTTAATCCTACTGCATGTACTGACTTTGTGGGAGCCTAGTCTGTTTGGATGCTCACCTTCCTAGTACTGGATGGAGAGGGAAGGACCTTGGATTTCCCACAGGGCAGAGAACCCTGACTGCTCTTTGGACTGGAGAGGGAGGGGAAGGGGAATGGGGGGAGCCAGAGGGAAATGGGAGGAGGGGAGGAGGCAGAAATTTTTAATTAAATAATATAAAAAGAAAGAAAGGGAAAAAAAGAGAGAAAGAAAAGAAAAGAAAAAGAAAAAAAATTCATTTTGGTCCACTTATTTCCACAGGGGTGAAACTTTCTTGAAGATTGGGATTCAATGAACTCTCTTCACTGTGTACCCTCAGCACTACAACAGTACCAGGTGCTCAAAAAAAAAAAAAAGGCTTAAAATATATGTGCATAATAAAATAATCTACTATGTCTGAGCTGGGTTTGTTTGATTCCACTATTTACAAATATTCTCATCACCTGTTGCTTTCTTTTTTAAATTTTATTTTAGTAAAAATAAAAGATAATTCTACCACATGGGAATATACACAAACATAGTGTCTGAATACATGGATGAATGCATAGACTTCTTAATCTGTATATGTAATTGTAAAAGAGAAGAAGCTATAAATGATAATTCTTCTGTTATCAATGAAAATAAGAGTCCTACCTAGGGTTGCACTTGTATTTCCTTGAAATTCATTCTTGCACAGTCTCATGAGGAAGCTGGACTTCCCCACTGCAGCATCTCCAGCAAGCACAATCTTGTATGCCTTCTGAGATGTCAGTTTGCAGTTATTATCCACCATGTCTGCCTAGAGGGAAATAGCCAGATAGGTGATGACAGAAGCCAGTTTTCATCTAAGTAACATGCCATGAAGAGAGTTGTCTCAGTAGCTACGTACTTGAGGTGAAAGAGCTGAGATGGGTTTTCTGGAGGAGCTGACAGTGCTGCCTTCACCAACAGATCCCTGTGGCTTCCAGTGTAACACAGAGGCCACGCTTTCAGAATCAAAAGCTTCTTCATCTCTTATATCAGGAACCTACCAAAGCATCAATAATTAAAAATCAAATCTCTCACATATACCTCTCGAACCAAAGAAACATAAAACTATGTTGCTGAGTCTACTAGCAGTGTGATTATTAAATGGACCTCCTCTTCAGGGCAAAAGTTTGAGAAATCCTCCTTAGTTTCATAGGGAAAAAGATCCAGTCTAATGACTAAATTTCCTCTTCATGACCTTAACAACACAGGCTATGTGCTGTTAAAACAGAGTTCCCTAAAACATGGTAGAAGATTTTCTTCAAAGGAAGGCATCAGAGTATTATGGTTTCTGGCTCACATCTGTGTCTGATGCATCTCCCCCAAGGCTCTCCTGTGTTTCATGCAAACTCTGGAATTCTCTCTGGTGCTTGTAGTCTGCTTCAGAGTCACACTCATTGGAGTCTCTCAGAGTAGACAAACCACTGTCAAAACAACTCTCAGACAGGCTGTCAACTTCATAATTCATCTTCTGCAGAGGATCACAGAGAGCCAAAGAGTCACAATCCTCATCTGCATATGAAGAATGGAATGACCTTGTGACAAAAGAGGAGACAGCTTTACCAAGGAGTTCAAAATGTACAAAAGCACAAAGGGACAGGCTGACAACATTGTCCCTTGCCAGGAGATACATGGTGTTCCCTTAGCATAGAAGAGGAAATACAAAATGCAGTCAGTTCATTCTGTGCAATACTCTATGAGGACAAAACCATTCATATATATTAAAAATACACAAAATTCTTTTAAATTGACTGACTTATTTCCTGATACAAAGAATGAGTACCCTAGATACAAATATAATCTTATACTATTTTAATAAAATATCCCTAGAATACAAGAGCTTTTTTACTATAATTCAGTTAAACCATAATTGGAATAGTTTGTCTACTTCTAGACATTTCTTATAACTCTTCTATTTGTTAGTCCCTTTGTTTATTTGTTTTGTTTGTTTTCAAGATGGAGTGTTAGATACTTTTTCCTTTGGGGCAATTAGTCAAGGCCTATCCTCATTCAAAATTCCAATGACAAAACAAAGTTCAATCTCACCAAAGTTCACTCTGGAAAACCAATGAGTTTATTGTGTTTGGTTAATGAGCATGGATGAGGGTTTACTGACAGGAGTGTGAGTGAGCCCTGGAAAGTTTTACTCAATGTGGACAATGACTTCTCCACAGTTGCACAAATAAAGCCCCTTCTCTTAGACATTCCATTCTATGTGTACTCTAACCCCTTTCCCAAGACTTCAAGGCTGTGTGCAATTAGGGCAACACACAACTGATTGGGGGACAATGACAGAATACTCAAGTGAAGGTGCTGTGACCCTCTCTATCCCCGATCCTTCTATGATGAAAAGTCAACAGTCAAAATCCCAAGCCTAAAGATTTTTTCACACACAGAGCTTTATATTAGCATAGAAAAGAAAAGCACCCTGTTAACTTTGTATATCACTAACCCCCAGGAAGGAATATCTGTACAGGCCACAGTGGTTTCTAGTTGTGTTCAGAAAGAGAAGTAGATGAAACTTTCCTTGCCTCTCTGAGGTCCTGATGATATGATGAAGAAACTGTCTCTTAGAACAAACTGAAAAGGAACTCTTACTTCATTATCAGAGCCTCAATTGTGGCATTGTTCTTCCAAGAATAAATTATGAGATTTATGAAGAATTTGTCTTTTATGCTTTCCTCTAAATCTTACTGAGAACTATAAACTGCTCTTAACTATTAGTCCAGAAAAAGTGGCATCAAATCTGCACCTTTAAAAAATATGTATTATTAGTAAGAGCAAATTCCAGTTACTTATAAATAAATAAGTCACATTTTATAAACTTAATGAATCAATAAATAAAAATCAGACCAAAGCTGGGTGGTGGTGGCATATGCCTTTAATCCCAGCATTTGGAAGGCAGAGACAGGTGGATCTCCATGAGTTTGAGGTCAGCAAGGTCTACAGAGTGAGTTCTAGGACAGGCTCCAAAGCTACAGAGAAAACTTGTCTGAAGAAAAAAAAAATTGGACCAGTGGCAGCAAGAGCATCAGCTATCACCAGGTGTGGTGGAGCACTACTGATCATCACCACCATGAAATCTAAGCAGCTACTGCATGGCTGTCACAATACTGGGTCTGATGAAAATCCGCACAGGAGGAGAGAATGGAGAGCATCATTAGGAGGGGGAAGTACATCATCATCTGTGCTTGGATTGGACTCTCAAGTGACACAGTTGTTTGAGATCCCTCCTACTCCTGTAAGTAAGCCTCATAAACTCACTGGTTTATCAAACTGAACTAGAATAGAACTATATCATTAGCCTTTCCATACTGTCCACACATCCCCAAGAAAAAGCCAGGTAACATCAAGATAGTAAGAACATACTTATTTATACTGGAAGTACTCCCCCCACATACAAAAGGGGATAAACCTGAGTTAGAAATCTTCAAACACATAGGAAAATGTAATGTACTCTTTTATTTTTTTTGAACACCTTGATATACCACAAACTTAACTTTCTTTTAGCTAACAATGTTGGACATGTACACCGATGTGCACACAAGCACACACATATAAATAATCATTGCTTACTATTTGGTCTCTTAAGAGTCAAGTTAAATTCTAATTTTTGAAATATGCCAGCAGATCTGTTAATATTTAGTAACTCATAAATCTAAATGCCTTTTCTACTTTTTAATTGTTTTCAGTACTAAACACTGACAAATTATGACAAAAGGCTCACAACAAATATCATCCATAATGCAACTGAGTTAGACAATGGTGGGTACAAAATGGTTATACAATAATTCAAAGCATCTTGAGAAAATAACTTCTTTCTATGAAATATGTTTACTTACAGTTTCACCTTTTTCACATTTGTGAAGGCTAATGTAAGATCATAATAGATACAAAGTATTACTTAATATATTTCTTTATTTTAATTCAGCTCTAAGATAATTTGTCTTAGTTTCAACCATGATCTACAAATCAGATAATAAAAAAAGCAGGTGCTACATACCTATCATAGGCCAGTGGCTGAGAAGAATGGTGATTAAATTTGGGACTGCTTCTAGAAATTGTATTTCCTGGTGATATGTTGTTCATACGCTGCAATAACAAGTAGTTGTTTAGTATGTAGACATTTCTTATACCACAGACAGATGTGTTTATGCAAATCCAAACAATTTAATTCCCAATACAAATAAAATTTATGACTAAACATGAGCAAATATAAACATAAAAACATCATTTGGAAAGATTCACATGGTTTCTCTTTCTCATCAATTTTAGCTTTTATATAGCTCTACTGCATACTCCACAAGACTCTGATACCTATTCAGATACGTGAGGATCCCATAACATCAGCTTCCCCAGATCTGTCTCTTTTGGAAGCATAATCTTGTTGAGTAATTGTTTTGCATTCGAATATGACTGCCTAAAACTGATTCACAAAAGTGGGATAAGAAGCTTCATTGCAAATATAATCTGGAGAAACTTGCTTCTTACTGGAGGATTTAAAATCCAAAACCCAAGGCCATCATTCTCTCTAGAGTTTGCCATGAGAAAAAGGCATGAGCAAGTCAGAAGCATAGCTGCCTTTTTTTGACTGGAAACATTTTTTTTTCTTACACCTACAGGATTCCTCACTTTTTTCTTATACATTGCTGTCCTTCTAATTTGTTCTTATAATATTTAACCCTCTAAGGCTAAAATTACATATTCAGCATCTTTCTCTAAGCTTCTTAGAATATATAAGAGTTTGATAAACAACATTGCATTTATTTCTACATTTGGGCAGAATATATTTTTAATTTAGAAAACTTGTCTTTTTACTTCATGTCAAGGGAGTCTCACTATAAGATCAACACGCAGTTATTCTAAAATATCACATGGTTTTCTTCCACAAATCACTTATCAAGAGAAAGAACTCAATATCTTGTGAGATGATATCACATACCAAAGATCTGTTGAGCTTGCTGTAAGTGTTTTCCAGTGCACTCCGGAGGCCATCATTACTGTCATGCAGCTTCCGGTTAGCTGTTCTGTAGAGGAAAGAAGTCAACAAACAGAAACAGGAAGCACTGGGGGATCAATGTTCCCACTCTGTTTGAGGCAGTGACATTCAGAATGTACAGATAATGTTGTGCTTTTGGTAAGCTTCTGTTTCCCTCTGAACCCCCAAAACAGAGTCAGAGATAGACACAAATTGCAATGATTGAATTGATTGGTTCTTTTTCCTGAAGATCTGGGAGCATTTTAAGAATAAATTTGCTGGGCTGTGGCACTTACTCTTCCTTTAGATAATTTCTGTGTCTACAGGATTAATGTAGGTTTCTGTTCTCTAGTCCACACAGCTCAGCCACAGGAACTGATGCAGCATGCTATATCCTATATCATATCCTCTTTATACTCTGATGGGATTTCTGTATCAATCATATACTTGGTTATTGACCTCAGATGGATTGGGGAGTAAATACAAACTTAAGTAATTACTTCATGGGATATCATGAAAGTCATTTAACATCTGCTTCCTTTGGCTAAAGAATAAGGATCACAGAGTCCCTGTCCCATAGAGTATGTAATTTTCCTGTTCATAGCCACTTTATCCTTCATATCTCAGCTCTGTTATTACTTCCACCAAGAGTTCTTTATTGACCTTTAATAGTTCTCCATGAGGAACTTGTACTTTTCCTTTGTTATATTTCTCTCATTTGTTGATATACATCATACTCATTTCTATGGGTAACCAGTTTCTGTCTTCCTCTTCTCTGCTAGACTCATAAGGAGAGAGATTTTTTTTCTCCTACTCACTAATCTTTCCTCATTTCCAGGAGTATCTCACCCATCAAAGCTGTTAACTGAGAAATCTACTGAATGAGTTAACAAATGAATGAATTAATAAGACTATATAAAAAGTGACTTCTAAAGTTTCCACAACAGAGAGAAAAGAACATTAAAAACTGTAAATATTTGCCCAGGCCCACATTATTTCATTTAGTTAATTGAAAACCAAAGAATACACTGTATAAGTGAAACAAATTGGGGAATATCAAGGTTTCTTGAAAAAGATCCTCAGAAGATGTAATTACTACAACTTAGTTGTGAAGTTGATAGATTAAGATAGAATTTCTTTGGAAATGGCTTTTTAATAAATGAAAACTAACAAAACACATATCTGTAGTAAGCATATCAAATTGAAAGACTAAACACTATTCTATTGCACCATTCAGGTGAAGACCTGGGGAGCTCTCGAGATATGAAGTAGAGAACAATGAGGGTGAAGGCTTCATCCCTCACAGAGGAATAACTCAGATGTACGACACACTTTCCTGACCTGAAGGGACCTTGAGAACCAGACTGTACTGGTGTTATTTAGTTAGAGGCAGATGAGTCAGGAATTGAACTGCACATGCCAAATGTACTGCAGTGAGAAGAAACAGTGATCTGTACACTGGACATGTCAGGTCATCTGACAAATGGCACATGTCTTATTAACAAACAGTAGCTAAAATGCAATGAGCATTTTATATGAGAACTTACTGGAGGATTTCAATTTGCCTCTCAAGACTACTCCGATCTTCTGTGTACTCTCGGATTATTTCCAGATCCCTGCAAAATTGTATGTAATGTTTCATGAGGAGAGAAGAGACAGCATGTGTAAACATGTGGCACAACCCCATCACTATCTTCCAATCCTTATGAGCTACCAAGCCTCATCTGGAGAAACCTGCCCTTCACTGCCAAGCTACAATACAATTGCATATAGGAATCAAAGTACTTTAGCCAAAATTCCTGGGCCCTTTTAGAATTTCTATAAAGTAGCTTATTCACTTTTAGTGTGTTTTAAAAGGTTGTTTCCTATTTAAAGCATTTTTTTCTAACGGTCTGATCATTTTCCCCCACGCCAGTCTTGCTTCTCTATTACATTGTTTCTTTCATTTCCCCCTTAACTACAACATTTATAAAACTTTCTTTTTCCCATCAGTGAACTGAAGATAATAAAGATTCCTAAAAGATAGGGTAGACTGTGGATGAAGGTATAAACATTAATAATGTGCTAACGATACTCTTGGTAGATGGCAATGCTACTTGCTTCAGTGGATACTGCTGTCACTGGGTCCTATTCATTGGTCCAACACAGCTGATCATTCCTCCTGTATTCACTGCCTGCTTTTTCTTAACACAGGCGGAAACAAGGCAGTTACACAGCCCTCAAGTTGCAAATGGTATTATTGCTGGTACTCGGTGCACATTTGTCTTGGTCTTGGCTTTCCTAACTAAACTTGAAAATTTTAAAGGGTGGCAGCATATGTCTCCTTTATTTTAAGTATGCTGAACTCACAACTCATTATCTCTAAGGATCTACACAGAATATATCCAGAAAAAGTTATGCCATTTAATACTACAACACATAATTCTGAGTGAAGTTTGAAAATACATAAAATATTTTGTCCAAATGCCCAAATTTATTCTCTGTATATGCATACAACTGTATCTCTCATGTAAGAATGCCTGACTTTGATTATGTGAGGTTCTAAGTTATTAATACCAATTCCTCAAATCCAATGCACTGAATAATTAATAACTCTTTCTTATATTTTAGGCCATCATTTTTATCTGACGGTAGTTTTAACAGAAAATTGTTATTACACAGTATTTTCTTCCCACAATCAATGAAACCAAACACTTTAAAGCCCTACACTGTCCTAAGAGGGAAATAAATCAAATGGTAACTCTTTTAAAAAGATTAAGCACAAAAAAAAATTAAGCACACACATGTACACAGTGAGGAGATACACACATGAGAAAATCTGTCAGTAAAGGTACCATCTACAGAAATATATATGTATAATCTTTACCAGTGTAAAACTATTATGAATAGTTTCATACCGTTCAGAATTCAGACTCTGGTCAGCATAATCACTTTTCAAAGCATCTAATTCACTCTGAAGAAAGGCTACATTTGTCTGTGCTTCCAAAAGATCTTTCTTGAGTTTTTGATTTTCCTAAAGAAAATGAACGACAAGGGGCATTAGTCTCAGGGTTTCTTGCTCCTAGAAACACGAAGCAGTACATAGCGTAACTCCACAAAAATAAATCTCCTACCTCTCCTATGTTCTTCACATCTTCCTGTTCAAAGAACCAATTATATACTCAAATATTGTACATTAGCAAGGTGTAAGGCTGTTTTTCATTTTGTACCTGACATCTGCCCAAAACTATAATAAACAAGGACTGATAATCATTTTATTGGAAAATTAACTGAGACAAAATATCTGAACACTTTTCTAAAATTAGTTACACTGATTGCTTTTAATAATAAAAACTTTTATCTAATTTCTTAAAATGTAATTAATAAGAGAAATGCATAGTTATGAAACTTTAAATTTCCCTTTAAAAAAGAAATCACTGGACACTTGTAGTTAAATAGCTGATTGTGCACATAGATGGTTTATTTTTCCATCCCAGAAAAAAAATCATGACTATGAAATTACAATGGAAACAAACCATTTACAGTTAAAGGTATAGATGAGGGGGATCATATATAATCAAGTGACTTAAACATATTTCTAGGAATTGGAAACTAGTTGATGCCTCCCTCCCAAAGATGAGAGTCCGGAAAGAGAGTTGGTAATGTGAGGGGTACAATTTAAGAGTTTACCCTACACCACAGAGCTTTTTCTCCCAGTTTCCAGCTTTAGAAGTGGCATGAAACCTTTTAAGAAGAAGCCAAGTAGTTGTCCCTTAGGTCAATTAGAGTGCTGTCCTTGGGAGTGATCTTTCAAAGTCAGTTGCTATTTCCTGTTTACCCTTCTGGCTCATACTCCAGCAATCTACCAAGAAGTCCACAGTAAAACTAAGTTGACACTGCCCCATGCTCTTGAATCCTTACAACTTTAAAACTGTGAGATAAATAAAGCCCTTTATAAAAATTAGCCTGCCTCCATATTTAATTATGCTAATAAAATGCACCAAGGCAACATTCTAAAACAAATGCCTAGGAGATCCTGCAGTAGAAAGCAAAAAGGCCAAGTGGCCCAGTTACACACCTTAAAGCAGAATGAGAAGAGAAGCTAGAGGGCTGGAAAGGTTGTTCGGGAATAAAGGATACTCTTTCTGAGCACACCAGCAGGTAGAATGAGAAGTGAAAGAAGCTAGGTGACTGGAAGGGTGGTTCAGGAATAAAGGATACTTGTTGCTCTTCCAGGGAATCTGGGTTCTAGTCCCATAACCCACATAATTACGTATAGCCATCAGTAGCTCCAGTTCCAGAAGATCCAATACCCTCTTTTGCCCTTTTTGGATAACAGGCATATATACGGTACAGAGCCTGGTACACCCAAACAAAACACCCATATACATAAAGTGAAAATAAATATGTAGTTTAAAGAAGGGGTGCGGGGAAATGAATTAAAATGCACAGGTGATGGTAGCAATTGTCTTTAATCCCAACCCTGAGGAGGTGGAGACAGCTGACTCTCTGTGTCACATAGACAAACTTTCAAGGAAGTGTGTATATAATGTCTGTGTCTGTCTGCCCATCTGTCTGTCTGCCTCCAATAACATAACAAAGGCATAGTGACCAACTCTTGTCTATCATAGTTTGGCAACAAATGCCACATATAAAGATAGGAATGATGTAAAGAATTTAAATTTTTTAAACTTAAATAATATACAATAGTTGAATCAATAACTGATTCTTTGAACAAGAAGGTTTGAGGAACAGGGAATGAATGTGAGAGTTAGGTTATGTACTGCTTCATTTTCCCAAGAAACAAGAAGTATTGAGTCTAATGACATTCAAGGTTCATTTATTCAAGAAAATATTAGTTATAATGAATCAAAAATATCATATATACATATTTGCGTGTGTACAGAAAGATTAAACTAATCCAGTAAGATGTGTCATTTCATGACCTCCAAAATTAATATTTTCAAGAAAAATAAAGAATTTTACAGTAGTCATGACATCACAAAGATGGTTGAGTATTTTTGTACTGCCTAGTTTTACAAAAACTTGTCACAAGCCAGATTTAATGAATTTGGCTCTAGGCAAGCCTGTCAGACATTTTTTTAATTGGTATAAAATAGCATATATATATATATAGAGAGAGAGAAAGAAAAAAGAAAAGATCAAGCTGAGAAACACAGAGGAAGCAATCCAGTAAGCAGTACTCCCCTTTGACCTCTACATCAGATTCTGCCTCCAGGTGTCTGGCCTGCTTGAGTTCCTACCCTCAATGCTTTTGATAAGCTATTATATAGAACAGTTGTGAAATAAACCATTCCCATGTCACTTTTTGTCATGGTATTTCATTACAGCAATAATAATCCTAACTAACATCTTTTAAAACAAGAAACTAAGAACAGAATCAGAAAATCCAAGAAAGCAAGCAACTCTTCATGAAAGTCAATCCAAACATAAAGGCAACTCTGATGCAGAAATATCAAGATAAGCTGAGACTGTGAGGATAGGAAAATTCTCTCCTAAGTGGGATAAAGATAACTGACCAGATGGAAAGTTATGAAATCCCAGCTCAAGAGACAGAGCAAGTAAAATGTTTTTAATATTTGAGAGTAATCTAAAATAAAACGAAAGCAGAGGTAAATGTTACTAATTTTTTGCAACAGAGAAACCAAATAGAAATGAGAACATCTAAAAAACAGAAAGACAAACTGAAGGCAGAAGAAATCACACATACAAAAGCAGGGATGCTTCTAAAAGTATGGGGTTAATCACGGTAAGATAGCAATCAGCACCTTGTGTGCATTACATTAAACACATAAACTTTAAAAAAAAAAAACTAGTCAGAAGAGGTATTTGATTGCTCCCCTTCATAATATAGTTACTCAAATATATTTCAAAGATTTTCTGTAATTATAGTATCAGTTTCTCATTAAGCTTTTATTCCAGAATCACAGAAACAATAAGTACCACGAATATGTGCAAGTTGTCTGTGTTCTTTCATTTTTTTTGTTAACTTGATACAAGTTAGAGTCATTAGGTAAGAGGAAATGTCAACTGAGGAAACACCTCCTTAAGACCAGACTATAGGCAAATCTGTTGGGCATTTTCTTGATTAATGATTGATGTGGATGAGACCTGTGCATGGTAACATCTCTGGGCAGATGATCCTAAGTTATATAAGAAAGTAAGCCATGGGTATAAACCAGTAAGCAGTGTTTTTGCTTGGCTTTTGTTTTTCTTCTTCCATTGGCTTCTCCTGGTGATGGACTGTTACTTGACACCTATAAAATAGAATACACTTTCCTCTTGAAGTACATTTTGGTCGTGGTTCTTTATCTTTCAGAAAAGTAACTAAGTATCTAAGAGGAAATGAATTTCATTCAATGAAGAATAATTCTTACCATTGTTAAATCATAAATTTGTTTCTTTAATGCTGTCACATCTTGCTTTTGACTTATGTGTCTCGATTGTTCTTCAAGCTGAAAGAGCAAACAAAACTTAGGTATTTTTGAAAAGTCATTTAGAAAAATTTTGGTGAAGATTAGAGATATTCCTGAATATGAATGTGGGAATTATAGCAGTCTTCAATATTTAACATCTTATGACTACAGATCAATAAATGATACAACATCTATAACATTTAAATATTTGTTTTAAATAATGCAAACAATTATTTTAAAAAATAAATGCATTTTTTAAAAACACTTTTAAATGTAAAATGTTTTCCTTAAACCACTTCTAAAATGTAAAAGTCAGTTTTGAAACAACTCCATAGGAAAACACCCAATCCTTGCTTTCCTTCTTCACTAAAAGAATGTGGGCATTCTCTTTCATCCTGTATGCTTAAGGCTTTCTGTTTCACTTTGTAATAGTCTTACCTTCAGTGTTTATGAATTATCTTATTTGTTTTGAGATAGTTTCATATTACACAGGATGACCTCAATTTTGATTAGTTGCTGAGGCTAGTTTTGAACTCTTGACAATCCTAACTTCCAATTTCTAGGAATACAGATGGTTGCTAGAAACAAAGGTGTTCACTACCATAATCAGCTAGAAATAAAAATAATAAGAGGAATGTTAATGTCATGCTCCTGTTTTATTAATAGTGAACTGAAGAAATGTTTACAAAAATGATTGAAATCACTAATATCTAAGCACATAAACCTGATGTGAAGATAAACATGCACAGAAAGAATACATGTGCTTACATGAGGTCTGCTTGCTGGCTAATACACTTATATCAGAGGTTAAAAATATCTAAAACAAAATAACTTTCCCATGAGTCAGTTGTGGTGGTAAACAATTGAATCTAGAAGGAAGAGACAGGAAAAAAGTAAGTCTAGGGTTACACAATAAATTCAAGGCCAACCTGAGAAATACATCAAGACTATGTCTCAAAAAGAAATGTCAAAAAAAGATCAAAGTACAATATTTTCTTAGCATGTGCAAGACCTTATGTTCAAACTCTAGTACTGCAAATAAAAACAAAAATAATGAAAATAAAGACCACAAAGAAGTAACATCCCAGGTCTGTGAGGGTTTGTTTGCAGGTGTCCTTAAACAGAGGGATTCTGCACTAGCCAAAATGTTTCCCAGATTTCATCATGCTCATGTGCTTTAACTATGAGCATTCTCCATCTTGCCAGAAGCTATCGTGAGACAGGACCTCATGTGACTGTGACTGACAGATGCGTATTAACTACGCTTCTTGTCTGGTGAAGACTGTCTGCTTTTTCAGGCATTGGCTTCTGCTTGATTGCTTTCTTTTCATATACCCTTTTGAGCTGATTCTCCTACAGGGCAGAAGGCAGATATGTTTCCAGCCTTCTACATGTGGATATCCAGTTTACTCAGCACCACTTGCTAAGAAAGGTTGTTGATTCTCCAATAATAGCACCTTTATGAGAGTCGGGTGGTTGTAGCTTTGTGGATCTATGTTTAGGTACTTTAGTCCACTGATTTGTGTGTTCTTCAATATGCCACTTTTGTGGGTTTATTTTGTTATTATGCTTATGTAATATAACTTGAACTTAAAATTGGTTATCATGATAGGTCTAAAAAAAGAGAGATGAATTATGACTTCACAGAAGAATATTATGAAAGAAAAATACCTAAGACTTTTGGAATCTGTTGTCAAAAATAATGATATCATAAAAATCTTTAAAGTATATTTTTAAATTTTTAGAGCCTTTAATATTCTCACCTATAAATATTTTTACTGTTTTATACAGCAAACCTATCAGATGGGCAAGAAGTCTAGAACAGGCAAGAAAGAAAGACTCCATTGGTTACCAGCTCTAGAATTCTCAGTAGGTCATTCTCCCTCCCTGAAACTTAGGCCTCATTTAATATGGTCATCAAAAATGAGTTTATATTTAGCATTTTCAAATTATGGGAATGATATTAGTAAATTATAGCCAATAAAATACCAATTGCTATGGTTAAACATGGTTAAAACCATGTTTTAAATGAGAAACCAAGGATTGAAAATATTAGGAAAATACATCTACATGCTATAAGGAAAAGTTGATATAATTTCAATGAGGACTAAGGCCTCATCATTCTCACTTATGATCTCTCACTGTTAAAACTTCATCATATTTTATATCAGGTCATATTTTTGGCATCCATCCTTGCAATGTGTAAAGACATGGAAACTTACAGAAATAAATAAAAACAATGACTAAAAGACTCAGTGGATTCTTCTTTCTGGAATCTATTCATAGTATAATAGTCTAGTTATTATTTTCAAATACATATAAGATCATAATGATTTTATGGCTTTATAGAAGACTCCTAGATGATTTTCAGTCACTTCAGAGATTGAGATGAACATGAGTGACAATGACAAGCTTAACTATAACATAACTTTACTGAACTGCTAGTGATGTTTATGTTATGGGCAGTCTCACCTGGGGTGCCACATATTACTAAGGAAGTTGGGCTCCCTTATTGAAAGTCTTAGTCTCAATAACAAATAATTTAATGAAAGACTCAAAAAAAAAAAAAACAAAAGGACAAATTTACTAAAATTTAAAAGGAAAAGCTTAGCCAGGTAATCTTTAATCTTTGCAGCTGTCCATGGGAGGAAGATGTTGGAAAAAGAAGGTGTGCCTTTTAAGTTTAGACTGGCATATTCAGCAATGGAGGTCAGCCACAATGCAGAAAACTGTCACATGGGGAAAAAGTGCTAGGGAGGAATTGAGACTACATTGGGAAAAGCATACCTAGAACAGAAATGAAAAAAAAAGTTACATTTTTCTGAGTAATTAAAAAAAGCTGACAGAAAAAAGGAAGTGCCATGGATATCACTGAGTAAGCAACTGTATGAATGCAGTAAGAATGCAGAGTTTCTGGGAAGGATAACTCCAGAATCTTACTAAATTGCTAATTATTCCTCTCATCTCTTTATCATGGCTTTGGGTGAATCTACTCTTCTTAAATGTGATCCCTTAAAACAGGGGAATACCTGGCCCAATTGGTTTAACTCTTTTGTTTTGGGTAGCCTTGAATGTTAGGTTTCTACACAGATTAAATAGATTGTGTGCTCTTGACCAGCAGGAAATGACTTTCCCTTAATGGCCCTCCAATACTACTGGAATATTTAATTTTCACATCTGTTTACTTAAGTTATTTTGACTACTATGCAAACAACCATGTAAGATGTGAGCTTAATTCTGACATAGAACCATCTTATAATGACAGGTCAGTGTTTATTCTGTACATGGATATGTGAATTTGATAGCATGACGTCCATAACACTACAAGTATCTGCACCGCAGAAGCTGGTAACTTACAAAACTCCCCTGTTCCACTGCTGCACTCCAGAATCATTATTATTAGCAAATCTCAGAGTACAAAGAACCTGTTCATTAGAACCAAGAAAGGGAATACCAGTACTCAAAGACACTTTTGCTCATGTTTCCACATTTTTTTTTACCTTACAATGATCAGGTTATTGCTAGACCAGGAACTTTCTACTTAAGAAAACAATTTTTATTTCACTTAATATTTACTAAGTATCTGCTATGCACCTTGAAGTAAGCTAAGAACAAGAACACAGGGACACCTGACATAGACAGATGCTGTTTCAATTAGGAAAACACTCTCCTCTTGATACAGGGAATTCACTCAAAGCACTTGGTAAATGAAAATGAAATAAAAAAAATACAATCTACATGTCTAGCAACAGAAAACTGGATGAAGTATATGTGATGCATTTTCATAAGGAAATATTATTTAGCTGTTCAAGTAAATAAAATCATGAATTTGGAGATTAATAAATGGTACAAGAAAAAAAAAGAAATGTCTTTAATAAGCTGTTCAAGGATAAGACATTTTATTATTCCATGTTATAAGCCAAATGGCCCAATAACTAGAAGAACTTGGGAGCCTTTAAAAATAAGAGTCTCTCAAGGAGTTGAACTGTCTCAGTAAAGTCACTATTTCTTCTGCTTCAACTCTAAATGTTTTTCATTTTCAATGTCTAGACACGGTGAGGGATGTTTCTAGAATGTCTCTATGCTATATACTCACCTTTTTTAACTTTTTAATGGTCACCTGTAGGTCTCCTACTTCTGTTTCATACTGACGTCTGAGATCACTGAGGGCTTCCTCTGCTTTACGTTTTTCCTATGGGAGAAATGAAAGATATCATTTAGGTAATTTCTGTCTCTTCAACACTCTTCAAATCATCAATAGATAAGAAGCATTTCATATTGAGCTAAGCTGACAAAAACACTCTGAAATTGTAAGGGTGAGACTAGATGGGAGAAGGACACCAGGGCATTTTAAGTGTGCAAGAGTGTTGGATTTGAAACGTACAGAAATGGAAGAGCTGCAGAATGTCAAAAGTTGTACATTATCCCGAAGTGCAGTCCCTAAGACTATAAAACTGCGATAATACCACAGCACAGAAGTGAATCAGTGAACCATTTCTGTCAGAAGATATAACACAACTATGGGATTTTGTGAACATATACATCCTATGATGGCTTAGGACTCAGGAAGGCACAGCCAGTGACCAGTTGTCCTATCATTTTCATTTTTCCTGAATTCGAATCATCATTATAAATGTCTATGCAGAGTGTAGAGCCACTGTGATAGGCTGGGAGTTTCCTTAATAGGGGTACACTCTGAGAAACATTATTAGGTGATTTTGTCCTTGAGTCAACATGATGAAATGCACTTACACCAGGTAAGGTGGTTACAATATTCCCAGGTATTAATGATGGGACCAATGTACTACATGAAGAGGAGACACCATTACTCAGCACAAGACTGTATGTTGTACACTCTGATGTGTTCCCATTAAATTCTCTGTAAAAGACAGTGACAAAAAGGCACACCAGAAGGTGCAGGAACTGCTGTGCAAGACATCTCTTCTGAGGTAGAGGAGGAACAGGCTTGGGGAAGAGAGTCTCAGATTAAATTATGAAAGAAGGTGATGGTAAGAGACTGAAAACTTTCTAAACTGATGGCTACAAGCTGGAAAACATAGTCTATGAAAAATTGAGTAAAATATAAGGGATCTATAAAAGGCAACAACAACCTCCCCCTTTGGAACAGGACTCTTACACTACAGATCCAGTACCTGCCTTTCTCTGCTCTCAAAAGCACTCTGAGTCCCCTTGCTGTCTGTCCCTTATGACAAAGAACTGACAGGTAAGCACCTGCAGGAACAGAAGAAATGTAACCTTGTCATTCACATTTTCCCACTCAGAGTGTTCTTGCAAGACAAAGCTGACCTTGCACTCCTTCCCCTTGAAGCTGCAAGACAAGTTTATGGTCTTTGGCCAACAGGTCAGGCTAGATTACAACTTGTTGGGAATAAAATAACAAATTCAAGACTCTAATGACAACAAAGCAGTTTTCAATAATATACAATTCTGAAGAGAGAGAAATAACATAGAGAAAACACAAAAATAGCTGCTGTGCTGATTTGGCTCAAAAAAATCAATATAGGGATTTTTTTTTAAATTCCCAGATGATGAGAAATTCATGTCCTCTTTTCACATAGGCCATGACTTGACTTCTTACCAAATTCTCCATCTTAATTATTAATTAGTTTAAGGCACAAAGTCTTTCCTGATGAAGAATTTAGATCTTGAAACTGTCCTTTTATGATCTTAGACTCAGTCACTTATAAGACTATGTGTAACTTCACAACTCTTAGAATTTTGGTATGAACAAGTGCAACTGGACAGCTAGGGGTAAGAGGACTCATGTCTTCCCACTAATCAAAACTCTGTTTAACTCTAAGTGTACCCCATACTTAAAATGGACTAAACAATTTATTTCTTTCAAGTTCCTCTTTTTTTCTCTTTTACTCTTATTGGTCCTCTTTTTATATTGTTTTAATTATTTTTGTTGGTGTTATTAATTCATTGGCAAGAGAGGTTAATCCTTGAAGAGGTTAATCCTTGAAGGTAATTGTCTTACCAGAAGCGGTACTGTTGCTAATCAAGGCATAACCTCTTCCACAAAGTATTACACAAACATCTCCTTCTCTGTTAATGTCGTTAAGTATGAGTCTATTCTCCAAAACCATTTAGCTGAAGATATTCCTTTAAGATCAGCCCTGGCATACTCAATAAATCCTTGTTAATTATAACAAATAGTCATTCCCGTACACATTCTGGTCTACTGCTGAGCATTAGAGTATAGCCAATACAAATTCAGTAGATATTTGCTTGCTAGCATTAATTTGGAACTCTCCTGCTGTTTTATAGTCAACATAGATAATCCAGGTATTGGGGCTGGAGAGATGGCTCAGCAGTTAAGAGCACTGCTGTTTTTGCAGAGGACCTGAGTTTGGTTCCTACTATCTACGCAAGAGCTTACAACCATTTGTACCTCCAGTTCCAGGTTATTTCATGACCACCATGAGTACAAGGCATGCACACAGTGCATAGAAATACATGCAAGCAAGACATTTACACACAAAATAAAACTAAATAAAAAATTTTAAACGTCTTTGCACTGGAATTAGCTTCACTAAGCAAAGGCTAATTGAATACCAAAGTTAAGAGTAAAGGACTACTGAACCAATATGCATGTCCTAAAAAGTCAAAGTCAAGTGGTTCATTTGTCTAGAATTCAACTAAAAATCAAGTCAGTAAACAATGAGGGCCCCTTGGTTACTTCAGACAACCAGGATATTGGTACAGACTCAAAAAACAAAGAGTCAAAAGAAGACACATTCAAAAACTGAAAAACAGTATATATGATAACATCTAAGAAAGTATTTTAAAAAATGTTCAATATCCTTAAAAATCAGGAAAATGTGGTTTAGAACAACTTCCGAGATTTTATTAGACCCCAGTTATAATGAAACAGATAAACACAACAACCAAGAGGTTGTAAGGACAAGGGAGCCCTCCTTCATTGTTGTTAGGATTGCAAATTGAGGTAGCCTTTATGGAAATCAGTATAGAACATTAACAAAAAGCTAAAGTAATTCAACAACAAAACCAATGCCCTTCCTTGGCATATGTCCAAAGTACTTGGCCCCACAGAGACATACTTAGCCATGTGCATTGATGCTCTATTCGCAATAGGTAGGAAAAGGAAACAACCTAAATGTCCTTCAGTTGAGGAATGGATAGTGAATATGTGGTTAATATACATGATGGAATACTAGTCAACTATAATAAAAAATGAAATCATAAAATGTGCAGGTACGTGTTTGAAAGTAGAGAAGATTAAATTGAGAAAGATAGCACAGACACAAAATGAGAAATGTGAATACTCTATCATCTGTGGTTCTGAGATTCAAATCTTCAGGTGTGAGTATTTAACTTGAAATAATCACAAAAACTCGGAAAGTAAAAATGTACCAAAAGGGCAGGAGTTGACACTAGGAAGGAGAATAGCAGTCAACAAGTGACTCAAATGAGAAAATGGAAAAAAAAAAGGGTAGAAAGTTTATTTGAAGAAGAGAAAGGAAGTCAATACAGTATGGAATGGAGGCAAAATAATACTACATCTTTTGAAGGGAAAACATGAGGAAACATTATTTTTTTATTTATCAATTAGACCTGGATGGAGGTGGGTGGTCCTTGGACTTCCCACAGGTCAGGGAACCCTGATTGCTTTTCGGGCTGATGAGGGAGGGGGACTTGATCGGGGGAGTGGGGAGAATGGGAGGCAATGGCGGGGAGAAGGCAGAAATCCTTAAGAAATAAATAAAAAGTACATATAATATAAATGTATATATACACATATATAAATGTACATATGACATTTAAATCTTCAGTATGTCACTTGGACTGACAATGCACTCCTCAAGAGCCATAGATTAAGAAAATTCCCAATGCCAGAAATGAAAAACCCTTTTTGAAGTCAGAGAAGTCCAAGAGACATCAAAAACAACATTGACTATTGTGTTGCCCTTGGTTGCCTCCCAGAATTTTATATAAGTCCCTGTTGCTGAAGATGTCATAAACTTTCCACAGAGCACTAACCAAAAAATTAGCTTTCATAGGACCAGGAAAGACTATAAAAGCTGACAAGGGGAAGAAGTAACAAAAAGCCTTATTCAGTTGAATGCTTGCCTACCACAACAATGACCAGCATGGCATGAAGTCTCTAAGAGTGGCTCACATATATTGGTGATAACCAACAGTTGTCTAATTGTATGTAAGGGCTTCTCAACAGTAGGAAAATTATGTTTTATACTGAACACTTTTCATACTACCCAAGACTAGTGAGGTCATGGACCTTAGAGGAGAATCTACTCCTATCACTTTACTAAACCAGAATAATTAGTAACTGTATTCTAAATACTCATCCTCATAGCCAAAAATAAGTAAGTGTAGCTCCTGCTTCCCCCCAGTTCCCAAACCTATATACACATATCAAAGAAGCATCTCTTGGAAGCTGAAGACCAGTAACGAAAGCCACAACTGATCAAAATACAGAGAACAGTTGATTGTGGGGTGGCTGGTCACAATGGATACTCGTAAAACACAACTCATGAATGTACAGCTCAAGGATCATCACAAAAAAGGGAGAAAAAATATTGTAAAACCAAAAGACTAGTAAATCTTCTGAGAAAGTGTATATCCTAGAAAGACAGGCAAGCAACATCCACTGATATTTTAACACCATCATGACCTAAACAATACTGCAACAAGGACAATACCAGTATGGATGTCAAGATGGAAGGGAGGAAAAAAAAACTGCTAAGGAATAATGAAATGATGAAGAAGAGAATTAGAGTCCTCAAGAATGAGACCATGAGACCTTTAATTGTTTATCTAATACAAAGTGGTCAGCCCTCAATGGATCTGGTCAGCACTGGAAGCAATAAGAGTTGGTTATAGTGTAGTATGTGCATATCAATGAATGGAGGAACAAATTAAAGAGTGATAGAAGGTTTCAAAGAAAAATTAAAAATGGATTTGTTATTTCTAAACACAAGAGGATTGTGTTATAAAAAGGAAAAAAATCATTTGCACCAACCTTGAGCCATGTACCCTGAACCAGCTATCAGTTAAATATGACATCCATAGGGTTCTTACACTTATTATTAAGAGACAGAACAAACAAGCCTGCTACTGTAGAATCTCCCATACATATATTTCATCTTTTAAAAGTTTAAATGGAGTCACCCTATAAAGGGTAACAAAATGACAATACTCCTATAAGTCAGCACACACTAGTAAATAAAAACCCCAGTGTCAAGGATGGATTGCCTCTTTTGAGTTTCTGGCCAGTGGAGTCCAATAGACCCAGCGAACATTACATACTATTACCACTGCTCTTTGTTACATCCCAGAATTTGATGGTAAGACCTTGCTGCTAAAGACAGTGCATATTTGAACTATGAAACACAGACAAATCAAATAAGTACTGACCCAGAAACTTCAGCTCTATCAGTTCTCTTTCACAGTATGGAAGGTTCTATGAATACTACCAGAGCCAAAAAGTAAACATCGCTTCACCCAGATGTGAACCCTGTGAGCTACAATAACAACTGGCCCAGCAAGAATTTGGGTAGCATAAACTGGACAAACACAGGATTCAAAGAAAACAGGGTAATATCATGTAGCTGGGTGGATGGCCAGTAGATCTAGGAGGAGCTGAGGAGTAGTGCATATAATCAAAAGCAATTGTATGAAATTCTCTAAGAATTAATAAAAATATTTTTTAAAGAGATAAAATGACATAGATGCCCAAATGGAACAATGTGTGTGATAAAGACAAGTAAGATAAATTATCTGAAAGGAAACAAAGAAGGCACAGTAAAAGATAGTAACAGCCATGGTAGTACTACCAAAGGCAACACTTCTCAGTACTTTACATACGTCATCATGATTAATCCTCCTTGAGGCTGACAGGTGGCAGGGCAAAGAGTCACAGGAGAGATTACTTTATGAATGCCACCTGGCCTTGGTAAGAGCCAAGTCAGGACATAGACTTATATCTGCTTGATGCCAGCACTGGGGCCTGCACTTTTATTGCCTCTCAGCACTAAAATAGAATTTTATATACTAATATTACCCACTCAAAGAAAATGCATATATTTTCTGCTTTCAGCAAATATCAACAGCTCAAATATATTTTATATTGAAAAACAAAACTCCCCTGAGGAAATGACTAAAGATATGTAATTTTAACTTAAGAATACCAATGATAATAAGATTTCATCACAAAACACCACAGCTTGGAGACAGGATTTTAAATTAACTGCAATAGAGATTTAAAGTTGGGTAGTGAGAATAATATACAGATATTCAGCCATCTTCTCACCAAGCCTGCCTCCAGTCCTCCAATCCACGTCATGCGTTTCCAAGAGGCCTCTTACCTCCTATGCATGCTGCCAGCTCTCCCACTCACATGAGTCTTATGATATACATACAAGTACTGGAGAGCTATGTCCTCAGCTTACTTGATTACAATCTCTCTATCTCTTTAACTTTTGATTATAAAACACTTCTGGTTACAAAAAATCATCTATGTGCCCCGAATCTAAAAATTTGATATTTTGATATAGAATATGAAGTAGTAAAATCTACTGTCCCCAAGTTTTGACACCAAACAGAGCTCCACAATAAAAGGTGCTCCCTGAAGATCTGCCAAATGAATGAAAGGTCAATCCAAAAACTCACGTCTTTCCGGGTCTCATTTTCCACTGCATGAATCCTCTGATCCATTTCCTCTTCCAACTCACTCAGCTGAATGGCTGCCTTGTCTTGGGCTCTGAAATTCAAAAGAAAACATTGTATTCTTGGATTGAAAAATGCGAAGAGAAACTCAAAGCTCATCAACTTTAGGCTTCACATTATACAGATGAGGTTAATACTCTACATGATATTTCCCAATCCTCGTATATGACAAACTAAGGTTGTCTGCTTGACTATGTGGGTATAAATGACATTAAACAACTGAAATAGAATAAATATTAGCCTGAGACAAACAATAGCTAAAGACAGCAAATGTGACTTCAGCAAATGTGCACTTCTTATTGTCACAACTGACTGAAAAACCTAGAAAGTGGATAACAGATCATTAGCCATAATTTTAAATTCTATTACATAAACTTCAGATCACATAGGCTAAAGTTAAAGGCAGAAGGATTGATTTCAGCAACTGTTTCTAATCAGTCTCCTACAGTTCTAGAGATAAAAGTATCTGTTAGAAAAAGTATTTTGTTCTAAGATGTCATGTACTGGAACTCATGACTCCAAAGAGCTCATCTTCATCAATCTTTTGAAGACACAGGACTGAGACTTGGAAAGAATAGAAAGTCTGCTGTCAAGGTCTTTCACTGACTTGGCTTCAGAGTCTGCCTGCCTCTCTAGAAGTTTCCTATTTTGGTAAAATGGCTGAGGAGAAGACATGTTCTGGATTTTTTTGAATAGAATCATCAGTTTTGAGCAGGTGACAACATAGGATGGCAATGACCAAACAACAGATTGCTTTTTTTTTTTTTTTTTTTTTTTTTTTTTTTTTTTTTTTTTTGGTTTTTCACGACAGGGTTTCTCTGTGGTTTTGGAGCCTGTCCTGGAACTAGCTTTTGTAGACCAGGCTGGCCTCGAACTCACAGAGATCCTCCTGCCTCTCCCTCCCAAGTGCTGGGATTAAAGGTGTGTGCCACCACCGTCCAGCAACAGATTGCTTTTTGACCCTGACATAACTTACCCTGTGTGGAATATTCTAGAAGGTTCCGAACTACAAAAGTTCAGGAAGTCCACTTGTATCATAGCATGCTTGTGCAATTCAGTTGCTATGCCCCCACCCCGTCACAGAACAAGTACAAGGACCCTATGTGTCCTCAGAAAGGAAACAGATTGATACCTCTTCACTGCAATAGCCAAGTTTTCCATTTCTGTGCTCTGGAGTTTGATCTCTCGAAGAAAGTTTCTTATCACATGTTCATATGGCTGAATTAGTCTTGGCTCCACAAGATTGATATTCTGGTACAAGGTACTAACTTGTTCTTTTCTGCAAAAATATTAAAGTTAAATGGTATCAGTTTAAAAGTGAAACAAGAAGGATTTTTAAATCTATGGATTGATCTGGAATAAAAATAACAGAGAAGGCAAAGAGCCTGTTGTGTTCTCCATGTCAGAAGACGACAATCGGAAAAGCCAGTACAAGAGCAAGGAAAGGGACTTATAATGAAGGATTTCTCATTTTACTAGCTAAAACCTGAATAGTAAAGAACTTTATAGAAAAGTAAATTAATTACCAAATTCTGTGTTTCTCCAATCACTAACAAGACGTGTGTTCATCTTTCAACTGAGAAGAGTAGAAATACTTATAATTTTGTGGTCTGTCAAAACTTCAGGCAAACTCACATTTGTGGATATATTAACACATTTTCTTCTCCTAGTTCTTCAAACACTAAAAGTTTGGAGTTTTCTCATAACAAACAATTTTTGGTTTTCCAAACACCATTTAAATGTTCATTTTTTTATATTCAATTAATAAGTACTAAAAGTTGGCACAAGCTCCTAGTCTAAGGGCTCTAAACTACAATGTTGCCCCACTTCAGACACTAGTCAGCAGACCAAGTGATGCCTATCTCTAACTAATCAACTACAAATCAGCAGTTCCCATGACCCACTCTCGGGCTTAAAATGGCTCATTAAACTCAGGAAAATATTTTACCTTCTTTTAAGAATGTATTATAAAGAATATCAAAACAGGAAGTGTATAAAGGAGCCACAGAATCTTCATGTCTTGTCTATCCCACTCATGCTGCCTACACTTTTATGTGTTCACAAATCCAGAAGCTCCATAAGCACACTCTTATAACCATAGGCCAAACTCAACTTTCATCCCTTTTTTAATTCTCAAGTCAGCAATGAGGCCCCAAGTTCCAACCCTCAAATAATACTTGCATGTTTATTTGTTTGTTTGTTTGACACTCAGCCTCCAGTTCAAAGAAATCTATGGTCTAGAGTTATCATCTATTTCATTACCTAAGAGATGTTTGAATAGTTAGTGGCATTCCAGCCTCAGAAAGCATCAGCTAATGACCTAAGTGGAACTGAGTGTAGCTTTCAAGTAAATCCCCCTTTATATCTTTATAGAAACACATACTGTGCTGTTTAGTTTTATATCAAGCTGATACCAGCTAGAGTCACTAGAGAGAAGAAGCCCTCAACTGAGAAAATGATTAAGTAAGTTCAGACTGTAGGAAAACCTGTAAAGCCCTTTTTTAGTGATTTATGTGGGAGGGCCAAGCCCATTGAGGAGTTAGCCTGGAAGATTTTGTCAACTTTCAGGAGGGCCTGGGTTCTGTAAGAAAGCAGACTGAGTAAGTCATAGAGAGCAAGCCAGTAAGCAGCACCTCTCCATAACCTCTGTATCAGCTCCTTCCTCCACATTCCAGCCCTGCTTGAGTTCCTGTCCTCACTGCTTTTGATGATAAATTATTATATGGAACTGTTAGTGAAATAAACTCTTTCTTCCCTGAGTTGCCTATGGTCATGATATTTCATCACAGCAATAGTAACCCTAACAAAGACACATACTCTGTGTGGATTTAATAATCACTCATCTTTCTACCAGCACCAACATTTTTCTCAAAACATGGACTGTGTGCTAGTGTTCTTTGACATGGGTCATCCGGGACAATGCAATCTATCCTTCCTTCTTATTGCACTATACAGCAAGGTGTGTTGTAATTTTACATGATCTATGGCTGTGAGAGCAGATGAAAGTAGCAGGGATTTTTTTAATGAAATAATATATACATATACACGTAAAAGATACACCAGAGATTTGAAAAATAGATAATTCCTTTGGTCTGAAATAACTTACCACAACACCAGCATAAAAGAATTATCAGTTTTCATCAGACCTAAAAATGTTATGGATAGACGATATTCAAAAAACAAAAAAGCTATATATCTTTTCATACACAGTGCATTATGAAATAATCAACAGCAGAACTTGGTAATTTCTTATACTTGGTGATCTTCACTATGATTTGGTAGTCACTTCCTCAACAGTGCGAAAGATCCACTGTGTCCAGACCCTATTATGGAGAGATGACTCTTGATGTGCATGCCTTGCACTGAAAATGCTACTGGGCAGGACAAGCAACCAAAAAGCTAACAATCTTCTCACAGCCATCCACAGCACCTATGTATGGACAACAGTGTGAAGACCACAGATCATTCAAACACCCTGAACATAGAACTCACACCATCTTCTCCATTCATTTTGCCTAGAGTTTCTCAAGGACAGTCTGTTTTCATGTTTGTTTTCAATGTAATTATTTATTATTTTATGTATTTTATGTATTATGAGAGTGTTTTATTCTCATGCATGTCTGTGCACCCCATGCATTCCTGGTGATCATAGAAGAAGAACTTTGTAAGTTAATGCAGGATGATCATGAGTTCAGTCAAGGCTATTCTAGCTAAATTATAAAATATTATTATTATTTTAGTTAAAATTAAATAAAAGAAGGACAAAGACCAAAGGTTGATGGGAGACAGGCAGGAAGGGTAGGTCAGGTTACAGGCTCTCTCTCTAGACAGGTTTGAGAAGGAGGTTCAGTGACCTTACAGGCCTCATAGAGCTCACTTTTTCCTCAGGCAGCTGCAGACCATCTGCTCCAAGACCAAAGACAAGCTTACATTATTACTTTACTTTGCCAGTGCCTTGTGACTTTTACGTCTAGGCTGGGTTAAATGGTATGGAACTTAGCCACCTCTTCACCTGCCCTTGAAATCCTGTGAGAGCAAGAAATCCTCTTTTGTTCTTTAGACCTGAAGGTCTACCTTTCCTTTCAAGATCCCATTGTACTGTCATTCTTGTCTTTCAGAACCTAGGAGAAAATAAGGCTCCGTCCTTTCAGGATCCCATCAACCTGATTTTGACAACTGTCTCCCATAATGAAGTTCTTATCTGGACCTGAATGCTTGCCTGTCCACTATAGACTGTGATGCTGTAATTCTTCTAATGAAGCTTATCTATGGGGTAATTGATCTCAGCTTTCTTTCTACAAAGCCACCATTATCTACAACAGGCAGTAATACAGCAAGGTAGGAAGGCAAGCAGGAAGAAGTAGAATAATTGTTCTTTGCTTTGAAAAAATAATTGTTCTTTGCTTTGAAAAAAAGTGCGGGACTCTGCTACTGTACCACACAGCCACATGATGTGATGATAGCAGAAAGTCTCCGATGGTACCAGAAGGAAAGCAAAACTGCACTGTATCTGATGAATAATGTCAAAGGCTGCAACCCATCAATCAAGAGAAGCTTCAGTTATGGTGTAGAAGAAGTGGTTCTCTTTATGCCTACTCACCATAACACAATGTATTGTGACCGAACTTATGTACAACCTCTTTTGAAATGTTTACAACAACCTCAGAAAGTATTTCTATTAACTCATTTTACAATTCAGATAAAGATAAAGTTCTTTTATAAGATAAATCCTGGTCCCAATGCCCCAAATTTATGTATTGAAACTCTACCACCAGAAACTCAGAAACTAGCTAATTATACTTGAGTTTTTAAAGAAGGAATTAAGTTACAATGAAAGCATTATGGTGAGTTCTAATCCAGTCTTACTAGTAATCTTACAGAAAGAAGATATTTAAACAGTGACATATATAAAGGACCAGGTGAAGATTTAAGAGAAGATGGCAACTGCAAGCCCAGAAAAAAAAGGCCCAGGACAAACTAACCCTACTGTTTCCCTGGTGTTAGAGTTCTAGAATCTACAATCATGAGGATTTCCTGCTGTTTAAACTAAGCGTGGTGCTTCATACTGCAAATGCCTGGACATTCCATAGAAACCAAGGACACAGCTAATAATGGCAAAATTGATATTCTATTTTGTGTCAGAGACTTCAAAATTAACCACTAATATCCTACCGATTAGAGATCAGGACAAACACGGGTGTAAGAACAATTCACATTATTAGAGAATAGTATATCAACAACAAAAATCTTTTCTCTGAGGTCCTCCCAAGGAATTTCAATGTGCAAGAGGACAATTCATGTTTTTACTTGTATCATTTAAGCTATTAAGGTACAAAATATAAAGACATACTATGTGGTAGGAATCTGTCAGAGAAATCATTCTCTAGAGTCCTTATTTCCCAGCTAATTGCACAACAGTGAAACATTCAGTTGCAGAAGTTTCAACTGGTCCTTCACTTTCTATAAATGTCTAAAATGGGAACAAATTATAGTGACATGAATTCTCTTGAGTTATTTTCTGATTCATGCTTTATATAAAGTTCTAAGAATAATTTATAGTGAGATATATACATAAATTAATAATGAAAAATAGATACCACTGGTAGGAAATGTGTATGTTACAAAATCAACTATTGTATCAGAATGGCCTTAATCCTCATCTACCCTACTTCTTTATGTCAGGGATTTGTGGAAGGTGTTCAAAGTCATGGGTTCAATCCTCAGCACCATATAAACTGGATGTGGTAGCACACACCAATAATCCCAGCACTCAGGAGGTACAAATAGGAAGATCAGAAAGTCAAGGCATCTTGGGCTATATAACTAACTGGGAGTCAGACTGGATTTTATATGATATAGTCTCAAAAATAAAGCAAAAAATAGTTTCCAACTTGGTCTTTCTGGCACTAGATTGTTACTCTCTACGTAGGACCTAGGTCTTTACATCACAGCAAGAAAAAAATACTTCATCCCTTTAGGTAAAAGTAGGAGGCCAATGCTTTAGCAAGGGCAGGGGAGATGCTAATCCCTCATCATCAAATAAGGCATGAAGATAGAAGGACCCAAAGCACACGGGCCAAAATGAACTTCATAAAAAAAGGATGGAGGATAGTTCTATGAGTACCAGAAGCCACTGAAAGAAACAATGGGAGAGATTGCATAATAAGAATAGTCGTTTAACTACTTCATTGTCTTAGTTAGGGATTTTATTGCTGAAAAAAATAAAGATGACCAAAAAGTAAGATGGGGAGAAAAGGCTTACACTTCCACATTGCTGTT